GCCACTTGAGCTGAGCCTCGCCTAGTGCACACTCCAAGTTTGTTCGGCAAGCGATAAAGTTGCCTCGAAGAGGGCGTCGATGACAATATAAAGAGATTAGTATTCAAGTCTGAGGCAGAGACGCTTCGGCTGCGAATTTGACAAGGAGCGCGAGCGCGCGAAAAACAAAGGAAGGGAAAGTTTGAAAAGAAGCCTGGCCGATCGGTCCTCGGAAATGATCACACGCCACGGCACCACGGCAGACAATGGGCTTGTTTCGCGACAGCAGAGCCATGCGCGATCGGACACATACAGATGCCGCCGCCTCTCCCGGGCGAGTTGCTCTCTCTCTCTCTCTCTCTCTCTCTCTCGGCACGTCTCGCCAACTCCCACGTGCCGGTGTGCGCCCGCGCCAGCAGTATTTCCAAGTTTCGCGCGCGCGTGGCTTAATTACGGAGCGATTCTTGCGCGAGGGGGCTGGCCCAGCACACGCCACAACCTCGCGCGAGCTGCTTTTGACTTTCCCTGCCAGCCCGTGCGGCAACGCAGAGGCAGAGGCGCACGGCGACTCGCGAGCCCGGTGAAACGCGTCAATCAGCATGCGGGAGCCACACTTTCGATAGAAAGCTGCCTGCGAAGCCGCTTTTCCCATGCGCGAGAGCACCCACGGACGTGTTGCTCGTCGATAAGCCGGAAAATGAAATTGCGAGTGAACGAAATTGAGGAAAAAATTTCCCCGCGACTTGATCTCGCGCGCACGTCTTCTCTAACGTGCTTCGCTAAATTCGCGGCGCTCGACGTTTCCCATTCAATGTATATGTACGTCTGCCAGTAAAGCGCGCGCACCTTCGCTCTGCGATTTCCTTTTTCGAGCGTGCTTTTTCGCGTTATATTGCGCTGCACGTACCGGCTATTTATGAAAGTCCTCTGCATATAGATATACACACACACATATATACTTCTAATCTCGTCCGCTTGCCGCAACATCCGCCCGCGTCGAGAGACTGTACGTCGTGCTAATTATTCTTTGCAATTAGCGTGGAACAATATAATTTCATTGCTATATCAGATTGCAAAATTCTCGTTCTGTCGAACAAACTAGAACAATCTATGTACTCGGCGAAAAAGAAAGCTGAAATACATCGAGTAAAAACAGTGAAAAGAACACTGCAGAGCGAAATTTTTAGGATGACGACCAATGGACGGGTAAATTTCTTCAAACGACGTGCGGAATATACGATTTGAGGTCACGGCCAAACCTTACAGAACTCCAAACTTACTTTCGTCAATTATGCTGCTCGTATGACGAGGGTGCGTATCATCATCATTATTCATGCATGGATGTAACATATAAGGACGGACATCGACCTCGTTACAAGAAAAAAACAACATTCACGCAAAGTTCCGTCCGACACTTTGGGGAATTAGCTGTGTGTGCGGTGAAAACATGAATATATTATATTCCATCCCCCGCCCTCAGTCTGCGCCTCCTACGTAGCGTGTTACAGTGTAGCTGATGCGTATGCATTATTGTATCGCTGTTTTTTTCGGACACTAATGCGAATTGTAAAAAATGCAAACGCGCTCCAAGTCAATTTTTAATATTACACGTACGTAGATGCTGGTGGTAGCGTTTTAAAAAAATGGCAAGGGATAAAGTTAAAAGCTTCTCTCTCTCTCTCTCTCTCTCTCTCTCTCTCTATCATAAATAAAGTTAAGAAATATGAGCGTAATTTTTCAAGCCAATGTCTGTGTGCTTTCGCATTCAATCATTTAGAAGGAGACTGAATTTATCAAAGTTTTATTCGCATTCGCGCGTGCTTTCCGTTGAACGATGGTTTTGTAAGCCGGACTTTTGGAACAGTCTGCTGCCGGCGCGCCGCTGCCACTACGCGCGCATAGCTCCGAGCGTTTAAACTACTTACGAGAGAAGCGTGTTGAAGCAGAGACATACTTGTAAATTAATTTGGCGCTTTTAATTGCTCTCTCATAGACGAAACACGCCTCGGTGCGTCTTCGACGAAATTTCATCATCGCCAAACGCAAAAGTCTCTTCGTCATTCAAATTACTAGGTGCTATAGGCTTCGGCAAGCGCCAATCGTGAGATAACGGGCTGGCCATTAAAAGCATTGCGGTGGTCTAGGCGCAAGGAGGTCGCGAGTCAAATCATTTCCGGAGAAACACGAAACAGACACGCGAGCTTCGAGCACAACTGTGCGAAAAACTACGCAGCCGCTTATGAGCGTTTAATTTTTTGCGCAATTAATCAATCAGATCTCCAAGAATCGTTCGCTCCAGTTGTACTCGCGGTTGCGCCAAGAATGCAGGCGAAAAGAAAGAAAAACATGAAAACCGCGCGCAGTGCCTATAAAATGATCGTCGTGGTGAAGCGTCAATGCGATCATGACGCGCTGCAGCGGGTCGATGATGAAATTGCAGCTATGTAAAAAAAAAAACGAAATAAGGAGAGCGGAAGAGGAGAAAGGAAAGAAAGAGAAGGAGGCGAAAGGAGAGGATCAGCAACATGCGATGAAAAGCGCACTCCGGCCGTGGCGAGGCATAGCGGCTTCGTACTAAGTGTGGCAGTAGGATGCGAGGCACCGTTAGGTGGACTCCACTGGCCATGTTTATTACGCGCACGGAACGTGCGCGAACGAATGAAAGGCGGCGCCACTTTTTTTCCGTGCCGCACGCGCGCCGCACCAATATGTATCTGGTACGTGTACAGCCGAGCCAAAATGTCCACGATGACGCTATCGTTTGCCAGCGCGGGATGCCTTCTCGTTTCCTGGGAAAGGCCTCGCGACGATGACGCGTGGGTGCCGACGATCAGGCACATCGCGCGCATGTGAGAGGTCCGGGATGTTGAGCATGAATGCAAACCGCGGTATTTAGCACAAATGCCGCAATAATGCTATGCTTAGATTGCCTTTTGCTATCTTCATTTTTAGTGCTGACTTTCCCGTTGTTTTCTTTTTGTTTCGAGGTTTCTTGCTTTGTCATTTTCACGTAAAAGAGAAATATCGTATGCGAATGTTCGAATAAAAAAAATTCGCCAATGTAATTCATCTGGCTATGTAAATGTGATATTTATGCATTTGCGAACACGTGAATTTTGAATGAATATTAAAAGCTTTGTCTAAAGAAGATTATTATAATAATAGTAGTATATTATCTAAAAGTAGACCAAGAAAAAGTAAAAAAGGATAAAGACTATTGTGCACGTACATTTTTTAATTTTAATCATTCATAAATATTGTACAAGTACTACATAAATATGCGGTGCATCGAAATGTCTTAAAATATAACTTTTAAAAGTCTTATAATAAAGCTTAAAGATTCCTAAGATTATTTTGGTTATTTGAAGCATCACGATGATTTCAATGAAAATATACAATAGCGGGACGAACGTGGATATTATTCTTATTGAGAAGTTATATATCAGAAGAATATATTAGTTCGGGTAGAACCGGTAGAGTAATTTTCTTTTTCATAATATTCAGGTATAATAGTTCAAAAAAACACAAAATATGGGCAAATTACTTGTAGAAATGGATATTGGACTAAAATTATTAAGACTCTTTGAAATGGTATCTTTCATAACGTTGTTGAGATTTTTTCAATGTCATATCAGCTACATTACAATTTTTAACAAATACACTTGAACAATTTTTACGGGATATACTAACTTGAAATTAATAGCGTAATTAGCGTGCACTACTTTTATTTTAGTCTTATTTTTCTGTTAATTATTATATTATTTGTATCATACAATGATCAATTTACTCGATAGTATTTCTACAGCTTCGGCATTATATTCGTATTAGTAATACCTTTCAACATCGTATATTCTTTTGTTACCTCGTTGAAAACATCCATAAACGTTTTTTACATTTAATATTCTGATAATTAGTTTCCATTTCTATAACTCACTTTACGATGTAAAAAAATGTAATTTTCTCCATTTTATTTTATTCATTCTTTCTCTCTTCCAATCACACTTTAAAACGACATTATTAATTCCACAGATGCTAATCAAATTATCGATTCGTGCTAATTATTCGAGGTTAATTTGAAAAAGAATTTCTCCTTTTTTAACGATTTATTAACGGTATATTTCCATTTTTTGCAGATTATTATCCATATTAATTATTCCTAAATTAAATTTACTACGGGAATATAAATCTCACACTTCTATATACATAATACGGTTATTTCAAAGAATATGAAAATTTCAAAATTTCGCGTTCTTTTTTTCACATCTATCAATCACAATGCTAGATGTCGGGGACTCATCATTTTCTTAAGATAGGAGGATTGTACGTTGTGAGTTTTTAGGCTCCGAAGCTAGTGTAAATTGAATTTTGATTTTGTTGCACACGATTAAGTAGGTGTACTCGAACATTATTAATCCAGCGTTCACTCAGTTTTCATAAAATTGGGACTGAGTCGGTTCTACCGGGACGCCAGTGATTTACACGTCGAGTATTTTCAGAGCTGTTTATTTTGCTTGTTAAGCGAGTAAACACGCCCCATCACGTAATACTCGAATAAACACATCAATTCTGCTATCGTAATTTATTTGTTGTTACCGCGCTTTTTACAGAAAGTAATATTTGTCGATGATTGATAGCGTATCAAAAAACTTTGATAATTACCGGGAAGAGCCTCTTAACCAGCCATAAAAGATAAATTAAAATGCATAAAAAATAAAAAAAAGTTTTCGGTCTTGAGCGAACTTGCCTAATACCGTAAAATAGACATTTATTCAGCGTCATAATCTTCCTACTTGAAAAAGTCGTTACCTCAAGAAAAGATAAAGCTCGGCCGAAAAAAAAGTTAGGGAGAAACGAGTGTCGTTGAAGAAAAGGGTTCCGAGCAATGAAGATTTGAACTGATTGATAAGCCGCATGTGAAAATGCGGAAACCAAAAGAAAAAAAAAATAAATAAAAAAATAAATAAAAAAATAAATAAATAAATGAAAAAGATTAACAATGTGTTTGCGCGTGGGTGTTGCAGGAAACGCAATAAGACGAGGGGTAGGCAGATGTCCAGCCTACGAGGAGCAGAACGTGTGCCCGGCCCGCTCGGCGGTCTGCAAGTCGGACTCGGACTGCGGAGCGCCGGTGGAGCGGTGCTGCGAGACGGCCTGCGGTTCGCGCTGCGTGGCCGGCGAGCTGACCGGCTGCGAGCAGTTGGCCTTGGCGGCGCAGCGCCGAGCGCGAGCCCTGGGACCCCGCAGTCCACCGCAGCTGATCCCGCGTTGCGACAACGCGACCGGCGAGTTCGAGCGAGTGCAGTGCGAGCCCGCGAGCGCGAGCTGCTGGTGCGTCGACGAGTTCGGCGGCGAAGTTGCCGGCACGCGGGCGGCCAATAGACGACTGGTCGACTGCGACAATCCACGAGTCTGCCCGGCGCATTCCTGCCGCATGCTCTGTCCCTTGGGCTTCGAGGTAATTTGCGCGCGGCTCTCGCGCTCCCCGCGTCCTCCGGGGCTTCGTTTGTTTTTCCAGCTCCTATTCCCGCTCGCTTTTTGCTCGGCCGCGCAACCCATGGGTGATTTGTTATTCCGAGGGCTTAGATTAACGGCCGGATTATCGCTTGTTCCGGCTGATAGGCTTATCCCTGTGATTTGTGAAGTCGACCCGGCGCCGCAGCTGCCGAGTCGCTTCCCTGATTTTACGACTGATCAGTCGACTCGCGAGGATTACAGCCCCGCGCGGCCCAGATTGTTTTTCTCCACTCCAATTAGAGTCCCGGCTAAATTTCTCTTTGCTCTTTGCACTTTAGCATCTATACGTGAAATTGTATTAGTCGGATTGCCTTATCGCGGCACGTCCATCGCGGACATTCGAACGTTGAAATATCTAAATCGAAACGAAAACCTGGGCTCTCTCGACGCTTCGAGCAGCACTCTAAGTAAGTGCAACAAAGGAATGTATTAGTGTCGCTCGTAGCGAAACAATTGGCGATGAAGTTTCGAGAGAGCGCGCAGCGGCGCGCGCGAACATTCGGAATGAACGATGTTCCTCGAGGATAATCTTTCATCGGGATCCGAGTTTGCTCTCTTCCTCCTTCTTGTTCGTGTACACCAGCGTACCGCGATTACTTACAGAAATAAACGGGCAGAAAACGAGAGGCCAGCTCGACGCGCGCCTTCAGATCGATGCGCCTCTACTGTTTGGCCAATCATTTTCCATTGCGAATACCGCGACGTCGGTGCAATTGTTTCTTGTCGCATTCGCGTGTAACGCATGGATCGCGCGCAGCTAAGAGCAAGAAGTGTAGCGAAGCTCGAGTCGATCGATCCAGCTCGCGTCGAAACTCGAGGCAGCAAATCAGGTTGAGAGCGGAATTGATTCCGCCAATGCGCGTCGGCAATCTTTCCGACTCGTCGGTCGCGGGCTGCAATCCAGAAAGAGTTGCCGCCACTCGCCAATGTCCCCGTTGTCCTTTGATTCTTCTCTTTCAGATCGAAGCGACGAGCGGCTGTCCGCGCTGCGAGTGTCGCGATCCGTGCCGAGGAGTCACGTGCCCCGGCAGTCAGACGTGCGAGCTAATAGACGTGCCCTGCGCCAAGCCGCCTTGCCCACCGGTGCCGAGTTGTCGCAAAGCCAAGTCGCTGGCGAACGTGTGTCCCGCCGGCGAGCCGTTGCAGATCAGCGACACGCCCCGGCCGTTCTTGTGCGGCGACTCGCCGGGCAAGCCGAACTGCCCGCCGATGTACCGCTGCCTGGTGGAGCACGGCCAGGAGTACGGCGTGTGCTGTCCCGCGAGCAAGCAGCTCCGACGCCCCGGCAGCTGTCCCGCGGAGGAGCCCGAGCACTGCGGCTCGCCGTGCACGCACGACCTGGAGTGTCCCGGCCCGCAGAAGTGCTGCGGCAGCGCCAAGTGCGGGGCCAGCGTGTGCGTGTCGCCCAAGGGCCTGAGCGCCTGCCACCGGAACCGCATGCTCGCCGAGCTGCTCAGCATTTCCGAGAGGCAGGGCCGGGGATACGTGCCCCAGTGCGCCGAGGGTGAGTCACTCGTCCCGCGCCCACGCGCGCCTTTCTCATTGTTACAGCGGCCATTATTCGGAATGGCATGCGCAAGATGGGTTCCGCGTAGAGGCGCAGCCGCCAGCACCGCCGCAGTCATAACAGTCCGTCGTACGCGCGCGCGCCCGGCAATTTTCGTATTTCACAACGCGGAATCCGCCGGCAAGATTTTTACGACGCAGGTCCCGGGCTCCCTTTCCATTTGGCCCGGTCGCGCGCGCGCGCGCCGCTCCTCGTGCCTCTGGCACTTCAAAAGAAGGACGGCCGCTATCACGAGACCCTTTACAACCGTTAGGTATTCGCTGGCGCATTTCTAGCCTTGGGCAGTCTTCTGTGCTCTCGATCTCCTCTTCTTTATGCACAAGAGCAGTTTATCCCGCGGTGAAACTAGCGCGGTAGACTAGCATTACTCGTGCAACCGGCGCGACCGGAGGGAGAAGGGGGGACCATTATCTCGCTTGTTCAGCGCGGAGGACGCACTTTTCGAGGCACTTTCCTTAGATCGAAATTCCAGCGGCCGCGGCTGAGTAGACTGCATCAATTTGCGGCCTTCGGCCGGAAGCAATTTACCATTGGCGAGCGTCGTCTCGGCAATTTCCTATCCGCGGCGCGAGGGGCCAAAGTACATGGCTGCTCTGTCGCGCGGCGTTCGCACTTCGGAGACGCGTGCCTTTCGCAGGGTATCGCTCGCGGAGCAGCGTCAATTGCGCCGCCGGCAATTGTCAGGCTTGCGTCGCGAGTTTTCGTCGCGCGCAAGCTACAATCCGCTCTAATGATCGCCGCGCTGGAACGATAAATTTCGCGGCCTGAACGCCGCCGCGACCGCCAGCTATGTACGCCGTACCGCATTGGCATTGTTCTATTGTTTATGTCGCAATTCCACCGGATTCCGCTTGGCGCGAGAGCGAGAGGAGAGAAGCGATGCTAGGTGAGCGCTCGACAACGGCGGCCGCGTGTAAACTGCCGCCGCGGGCAAGTGAGAAATCGCGAGCGATATACAAATTGAGCAGGCGCGAGCGACATATAAATTGGGCGGGCGCGAGCGAGCTCACGGGGCCTCGCTAAGGTCATTTCGAAGGGGTAATCTCGCATCGCGCCGGCCTGCCAGTTTCTATCGTCAAACGATGTCCGAGCCGTAAGTCTAACGGAGTTACGCTCTCGGGGCCGCATTGCATCGTCGGCTCGACGGATCCAGCCGCCGAAAAAAGCCAACCCCGGTACAATTGCGGGGATTGCCTCGAGACTAGACAGTTTGACCACGATTGAAAACTGAGCCCGAATTCGCAGGACGCGGAGAATGCTTTCACAAGGGATAGACGCAACGCATCTTCCTGGCAGTCTAATTAATCAAGTTGGCGAGCGCTTGCATTCACGCTATAGCGCACGTGCGAGCGCGCGCGCGCGCCAGGAATTCTCGCTAAGGCGATGTCGACGTCAACAACGACGAGTTGGTGTCTCTCCGCCCGGTACAGTTCGCTTTCGGCTTGAAAGCTCTGTCGCGCGAACGCATTAGCCCTGCGTTGTCGTATAAAAGGCAGATATGACGGGGACGCGCGCGCGCGCCTACACACGCGCCCGCTCGCTCGCCGACCGCTGAGCGGCATCGCGCGAATATGCGAGAGCTTGATTAAGACCCATTGTAGCGCACACGCGCCGCCGCCGAGTCGCTTCTCGCCTCTGAAGGATTGCCTGCGCGCGTTTCCCACCGAGATTGTGTGTTTCGACCGCACAACCGTTTTCGTAATCTCTCCGCGCCCAGTTTCCTCTTAATCACGCTGTATCCACCTTCGTTTCAAATGTCCATGCTTCTCTCTCTCTCTCTCTCTCTCTCTCTCTTTCTCAAATTAATTTGCCTACGCTCGCTGCTACAGGCAGACGACTCGTCATTGGAAATTGAATGCGAAGTTCACAGTAAACTCGCTCCTTCAACTAACAAGTCTAGTTACCCAGACCATAATCCCTCCCTAAAAAAACTCAAATTCAATTTTATAAAATAACATTCGCCGATGTTTTTCCTTTCCTTTTCCTGCATGCAGGTTAGCTAACAAAACAGCCGTATCGAATTTGCTGGAAGTTCTGTCTCCCTAAAAAAAATAAAAACATTTCCGATAAATCGTATACGCTGCTCCGGTCAGATCATTTAGCATTACCCGCGCGGGCGCACGAGGAAAAGCATTAAGAATGGAAAAACAACATATAGCGTATTTGCAAGCATAACTAGAGCTATAAAATCTCGAGGGATCCATCCAGCTAACGCGAAGCAGAGAGAGAGAGAGAGAGAGAGAGAGAGAGAGAGAGAGAGAGAGAGAGAGAGAGAGAGAGAGAGAGAGAGGGAGAGAGAGAGAGAAAGAGAGAGAAGGATAGAAAGATACTCGACAATAAAGCAATACGTCGAGTGCTCAATCAGATTCAAAAGATTCGACTAGCACGTTCTGTACATGTACGCCCATTCTCCCCTCTCTGCGTCCATATTCGGGCTCTCTGCCACAACTGTTACTACCAACCCTCCCTGTATATATGCCTATATGAAAGAAAGTTCCTGTCGTAAAGCTCTCGCAAGCTCACACCTCACCCAATAAGTTTTTGTAAGTACGAGTCATTCTGATGTGCGCAACTACGTGCCTTGTGCGTGTACGCGTGCCACGAGCTCCACTCGCTTATTTCATCTGAAATATACGACTGTTTTTTTATTTCTTCCGACGTTAGCGAGATTATATGAAAGATACGCAGCTGGGCAAAATCGGCTTTACCTATTATCGTCGACTGCCCGAAAATGCGACAAAGGTTGATCGCTCCCCGAGATAAGTTATACTTATAATGATCCCACCCGAATCAGCTCTCAGAATTTCCATGGAAATGGCATTCAACCACGATGCTTATTCTCGTAAAGCTATAAGCTATTATTTTCAGGATAAAAACCGTCTTCTTATCACTTCTTATCCCTGCCCGAGTTTGTATCAATTTTTATCCGCCTGATTCTCGGATTCCCGCTTGTCATCTCCTCTTCTATCCTGTGAAATGCCATAAATTCATATCAACAGGCTTCGCGAATCGACTATTGAAATTTATGGCAAAGGTCACTTGGCCCTCTACCGTCGAACTAAACCGACAAGTACAAATTATCGACAGGGAATTTCGTTGGAGAAGCCATATACCATGGGTATCGACGCTTCTTCGACTTGTCTTCAGGTCGTAGCTTTCCTCGTGGAATAATATGACGCACGGACTTCATTCAACATAAAAACTTGGGCAAAGTTTCTTTTTTCTATTCGGCAAAATTGGGACGAAAGTGGACTTGGCGCAGCAAAAGTAAAGTTGCGAGGGAAATTTTCGAAATTAGTTCGCCTCTGACAAACCGTTTGAATCATTCATGCAATGTCGTGCACGTTGTCCTTCAGAAAAGTATAACTCATTCCACGCGATATCATTCTTTCCAACTTACTCATTCTCCTCGAACATAATACTTTTTCGTTTCTTACAGCGAAAGCTGATTGGAAAATTTATTTGGGTTGCGAAAATTACAAAGAAAAGTCATAAAGTAACTCAGAGGAGTATAAGTGTGTAAGATAGGAAAGGCTCTCCGCTAGGAATCCTATAGCTAGACATTATAAAAAACAGTGACATTCATCTCGTGCGAAAACGAGATAAGCCACGGCAGTTCTGGGGGGCAAGCAGCGAGTCTGAAATTGAAAGAAACGGCCGGCGATAAAAGTGCACAACTGGCTTGGAAAATTCTTATCTAAAACGAGGCTGTTGCGTTTCTTGTTGGCAGACGGCGAGTACGAGCCGCGACAATGCTCGCGCAACGGATTGGTATGTTGGTGCGTGGATCCGACGGGCAAAAAGGTAGGCGGCTCAATGGGTCCGGCCGAGAAGGTCGAGTGCAAAGCCGGCGCCGTTGCCGCCCATGGAAGATCGCTGCCTTCGTCCGCCTGCACGTTGCAGCAGTGCGCTCAGGTCTGTCAGTACGGCTTCAAGAGTGACGCGTCTGGCTGCCCGACTTGCGAGTGCGACGACCCCTGCGAAGGGTAAGTTGCTGCCACTCGAGCTCTCGACCCGATTTTGCTCCTTTATCGTTGCCGCTTTCGCAGCTGACGTGCGAGAAAGAGACAGAGGACGCGTGTGTGCCTGCCCGAGCAATCCAATTTTCTTAGACGCGCTGGCATGACACACGTCCCGAGCACGGATTTTCATGCATACCCGGCTAGAGGGAGAAATCTTAGCTTGTCGGGCTTGCTCGCTTGGGCCGATTTGCTGTTAGCCACGCTATATAGCGCCTCTCTCAAGTTTCTATTTTTAAATGCGCTTTACGCCACCGTCCTGCCGCTGTCGACGGATTATAGCCTCGAAGACAAGATCTGCACGATTATTCGTCATACCTCAATTTGATCAACTTTCCGGAACGGCTCTTGCTACGATTACACTTTCGGAAGCCGCCAATTCGTACCGCCTTGATACCGCGTTGGTGTTTCATCTTTCACCGGAGCTCTATTATGCACGGTTCAATTACGAATTTGCAATGCTCCGAGTACTGATTAGTCGGTTATTGGATCCTCTAATTATATTTTAATGTACACCTCTCTCGGAGTTATTATACCAATTATAAGTTCATTTTTTCAAGCTCTACAATTCTTAAACGAAATTAATAAAACAGACGTGCCGGTATTTATTACTTTTTTACGATTGTTTAGTCATAAAATTGTTATGGTCCGCTTTATCGAATGTCAATTACGCAAGCACACGTCAAGTTTCTTGCGACTAGCTATACAGTCGTCAAAAATATGCGCGCGTCGCGTAATGTACGTAGCACCCTCGAATTTCATGAGTTTTGGAGAAAAATGTAATATGAACGCGGCACATAAAGTTGGCGTTAACGGAAAATACCGATATTGCTGCTATTCTGCGAAGTAGTATTTTTTAACGCTCGCGTGCATAATGCATTCGCGTTGACAGATCAAGAGCATCCGACCAAAGTCGGTCAGACGCAAATATCGTTTGCCTTAATTTAACGAACAAATGCAGTTACACGGTAAATCTCGTTAACTTTCATGTAAGGCGTAGTGATATTTTTTTCTTCTCTAGCTCGTGCCTGTAGAGGCGCGTCCTTTAAATTACTGTACTAATATCTTATGCATACGACGGAGAGGGTAGAAAGCACCCTTAGCGAGAAGCATTTTACTTTTATGCGCTGCCTCTTGTATTTGCTCGGGACAAACTATTACTGCGAGGCAAAGCTTTCAAAACTCGATTATGCAGATTTTTCTGCCTTTCTTATTCAATTAGTCGTCGTATATTGTCATTTATAATAATTGCGTAAATAACGCGAGCTGCTGCCGCTCTGCCGGCGTAAAACTAATTCTCAAACTGAGAATAGAAAACGTTCTCGAAATGAACTTGGCCGCGAGCGAGCGTCCGTGAAAGTCCGAGCGATTTTTCTTATCCACCGCTTTGTAACGTGTTTATCGGCATAGATTATTTTAAACTAGAACTCGCCTGCGATCGATAGCTTATAAATACATCTACGGTAAATAAATATGACGTTGTCTTGCAGATATCCATGCCCACCTGGCGAAGAGTGCGCACTACGCCGAGAGGACGGCTGTCCGGACTTTTTGTGCCCGACGAAACCCGAGTGCCGGAAGAGGCAAACCTTCAAGAATCCCTGTGTTACGGGCTCGCCATTGAGCGACAAAGACGGCAACGCCATCACCTGCTCGGCTAATAAGACCTGCTCGCAAAATCACGAGTGCATTATGGTTCCCGAGGCCGATCAGTCAGTCTGCTGCCCCGTTGTACCTGCTCCCGTCAAACCACCCACTAGTGAGTTTTCATTACAAACTGCTCGTTCTTTTACCTCGCCATTTCAACGCCTTCTGCTTGAAAGTCCAACTCGAGCGCAGCAGCAAACAAACTTCTGACTGAGTGGATTCTATAGCAACATATTCCAATTGATGAATTCGCGCGACGAAAATCTAACTCGCAAGAATTGCAATCAAATTCTACGTAATTTCGAGTACGAAGTTATGTCTGACAATCATCGACACTGTCAATTGTGCAGTTCCTTTTAAATTTTATTGAACGCTTGAGCGGATCCACACTATATTGCACAGACACATTTGCTTTAGCAATACGATATTCTATCTTTCGCGATAGAATCTTATTGAACATTGAGCGAATAAAAAGCTATCGCCATTCTCACAAGTTGGACTCTTCGTGCACGAATTTATCAATCGGAATTTTGTTGGACGATCCGCTCAGTTAGAATTTGGTGGGTCTCGCGGTCGAGTTGGACTTTTATGAATGGAACGCCTCGATTTATGGAATTCCGTTCTGTTTCCGAGCTACGAAAAAGAGTCTTACGATGTTAATGTTATAAACCGAATAAAGCGAAAGGAAGAGCGAAACGAAATGGCACGGGGCTAAACTGTTTTTTTCCTTTTTTATTTGTCCTTTTTTCAAAAGAATTCGCTAACGTTTTACTAAAAGAATGTTAAGCGGCCAACAGCTCGACAGCGCGACAAAGAATGTCCCAAGTATTTTTGGTACTTGGGACACCTACTTTTCGGTCAAAGTATTCGGTCTTCTCAATTCATTGGGGGCCACTTCTTCAAATGCAATGCGCAGTAGGAGGATAAAAGCGAGTAGTCGAAGGCACCAAAGCACCGGCAATTAGCCGCGGAGCCACTGGCAATTAGAATCTAGTTCTCTAGCGCATTAATTAAACCACACACTCACACATATACGCGCGCGCACACGCAAGTGAATTAACTCGAATAAAGCGTCGGCTAATTAGCAAAGAGTTGAAGAAAGGAGAAAAGTTCTGGCACAAAGCAAAGCAGTAACCGAGCGTTCTTTTCTCAGTGTGCGAGTACTTGCGCGACTTCAGCGAGCGAATGGAGGGCACTCGTGAGGGCATGAGTCTGGCAATGCCGGCGCCTCAGTGCGACGAGGACGGCTCTTACCTCGCACTCCAGTGCCAGCAGCAGCAGCAGCAGCAGCAGCAGCAGCAGGACACTAAGAATTGCTCGTGCGTGGACGAGTATGGGGTCAAGTTGAAAGCTAACTTCGAGTCAGACGCCCATACGATGGACTGCAACGAGGCGCGTGACCTACTCAACCTCTGCGATACCTTCAAGTGCAATCTCACATGCGCGTACGGCTTCGAGCTCGGTGAGCGTCTTATCTCCGCTAGTCTGCGGATAGCTATCGGACGGTCGGCCCGCCGTTCCGCAAGTGGCGACGCCGACTCCCACGGATATGAGCTTGCTATTCCCTTATTGCCGCAGAAACTATCGGCAAAGCGAGCCGAGTCATTAATGTTATCGGTGTGCTCGGCGACCGTGCAAATTCAATCTGCCCGCGGACCCGACAACTGAATCAACAACGCTGCTGCATTTCGTTAATGCATAATCAATTCGCGGTCGTGAGAACGTGCACGCTCGACTGAGTGTCGATCGTTTCGCGAAATTGCCATGGCAGCCGGGAGGCTCCAATTCAAGCAGCGCGCCGGCAAACGCGAGAATAGGATCCTCCAAGGCCAATTTCTCGCCAGTTATATTTTCGAAGCAGAAGCTTTTCTACGTAACGGTGACGGGAGGCGTGCCACGCGATAATAGCACGCTCGTATTCGCTAATGAAGCTCAATTTTTCGTATGAAACTCGAGGGAGATCTACAGCTGCAGCAGCAGCAGCAGCAGCAGCAGCAGCAAGTTGATAAGCATTCATAAACTTGTTTATTCTTAGCGAGAAAAAGTTTCGTATTGCTTTTCAAAGCCCGTCTCGGCGAGGAGAATAAGCTTAATAAACGCGCCGACGTGTCGTGACAGTAATGACAGTGCTCGCGCGAGAGATAGCGCTGTTATACGGACGTGCATATTTCAAAAGAGAAGCTCAGCTGCAGCCAGATTAACCGTGCGCGAGACGTTGCGAAATAAAAGCTCGGCGGGCGCGTGGACTTGCGCGCCTAACGAGCTCGATCCTCTGCCCTCAGACGCCGCTGGCTGCCGCGTGTGCCGCTGCAGGGATCCCTGCCGCGAGGTGCAGTGCGCGGCCGACGAGGCCTGCAGTCTCGTCGACGTGAATTGCGGCCCGGAGCAGAACTGCCCGTCGGTGCCGGCCTGCCTGGCCACCAAACCCGGACAGTGTCCGTACCTCGTGCCGAGCTCCTCCAGCTGCGAGCTGCTCTGCAGCAACGATCAAGAGTGCGCGGCGGGCGACAAGTGCTGCTCCACCGGTGCGTATGAATATTTATGGGCGCGCCATCGAAGAAAAGAAGAGAAAAAGTCGCGGCCGCGCGCGCGCAACTTTCGACTCTCCCGTCCGTAGAAAAAAAGTTGGCGCGAAGTTGCACCGACTCGGCCGCCCCGAGATCTCGATCCCTCCATAGAGATGCAGATCCTGCCCCCCTTTTTTGCTCAAATCAATGTGGATTTTCGCAAAGTTCGCAGGCAGGCCGCGTCAAGGGTCGTTTTTCTTTGGCACGCTGTTCGCGCGCCTTGCAAGTTCGAATGTTTTAATCTTTTGAGTCGCTCGCCAGGGCGGCTTTCCTCTCAAATCGGATATCTCCTACGGTGCAACTTGTGAGCTGTGTGTGCGCGGCGTCGGGCGTGAATTAAAGCCGATTTCACTTGCAAAGAGAGCGCGGTTGCGCGCGCATCTTGTTCCAATGCAAAACGAGCGTGACGGCGTACTTCGGCACGAACATCAAATTAGCATGATCAAAGCCGAATGGCAAATCAAGGCGGTACTTCATAAATTATACAGTTTATTGGAAACAAGGCATCGCTAATTGAGCTTGCAGTGTAGGACAATGCGGCGCTGGTCCGTGGCCCCGAGCGCAGAGACGGGCGCGCCATCGGAGCCATGAAAGGAGGCTTATTTGCCGTAGCAGCAATAGCAGCGACAGCCGTGGCTCGGTACAATGCCGCAGAGCGCGGGAATTATGTTTGACGCCGGAGGGAGCGCGGCGCAGGCTTTACACGCGGCCGGTTGCGCATTTGACGGAGGCGCGTCGATTGTTCCCGATTGTCTTTCCGCGACATTAGCATGCCGCGCGCAATTGTAGGCAGCTATGCCGCCGTGGCGAGCCTACCTGCCGATGGAATCAACGACCTGTATATTACGGCCTTGAATTTTACGAGCTCGCGCTCGCTTGCCGCTTGATTTATGGCCCTGTAATATCGCCGCCGCGCGCTCGTGTAATTTTAAGTGGATGTGTCCCTCTTTTCGCCGCTCCCAGCCGCGACTCGCATTGTTCTTGCCGGCTGTCGAAAAACGCGCGCGCGCGTGCTTTCCGCGAGTCATCGTTTATACAGCCAGCTACGCGCTTTTGTCCGTAGCTTTTAAGCTTTGGCGAGACGGCCAAGCGAATTTCTCTTTGAAAACTCGATTACGCTGGAAGGAAAAAAAGGAGGACTTTTATTCTCTCGTCGAAGTCTTGAAGATGCGAGCCCAGACCCATACCCTTATACACTGACATAATTGGATTCTACCAGAGAGAAGAAAAAATGCCGAGCCGACCTCGCCCATTGTTGCTGTCTAAAAGCATCATAGCTAGAATCTTTCAAAGGGCAACCTGCACAGCCAAAGAAAAGTTTCTTTTCAAAACACAGCTTTTTTCAAAGCTGTGGCTGGTTAAAAAAAAAGACGATAGTGAGAGAAAAATACCTTTTCAAAACAACTTTTGTACTCCTCCCAAGATTTACGACTGCAAGTTCTTGGCGAAACACTCGACGCGCGTTTGAAAAGTTCTTGGCGGATAGTAGCGAGCTTCGACAAAACTCATTTACCACGTCTGACTCAAATCGACTCGATCCACTGATGGGGAACAGAGGGCGCGAACGGTTCGTATGAAAACTAAGTTTGGCGTTTGTTTTGCTTGTTCCGTGCTGGTCAGGTTGCGGCACGCAGTGCATAGCGCCGGTGATGGCGACGGCATGCCAGCACGCGCGCGCAGTGGCCGAGCACGCTGCTCGCGAGAGTGGCGAGCCGGCGAGATTGAGCTACATACCACGCTGCGACGACGACGGCCAATTCGAACCGGTGCAGTGTCACGCGGGCATGTGTTGGTGTGTCGATGAGGAAGGTCGCGAGTCAGCGGGTACTCGTGTCGTCGAGGGTCTCGTGCCCAAGTGTCAGGCGCCTCAACGATGTCCCGAGATCGATTGCACTCTCGAGTGTAGGGACGGCTATCAATTGGATCCGGCTACTGGATGTCCTATGTGTGCTTGCAGAGATCCGTGCAAAAGTGTCACTTGCCGTGGCGAGAACGAGGCCTGCAGGTCAGTGCTGCTTATCTGTATTAGTTGTTATTTTTTTTGTATTGCTAATATTTGTTATTGGCTGTCTTCGATTTTAACTGGAGTCGTGTGCCCCTCGGGTTTCGGCGAGTTCGAGTGAACTCTACTTGACCCAATGTGCTAATTACTATCGATCGCAATGAACTTTTTACCTCAAATTTTCGAGCTTGCTATTTGCTAATGAGAAACTGCGATATACTGACTGCTCTTGTTAATCGGAAAATCATATGGAGCTGTATAACACTAATTATCGTTTAACGATACTACCTATCATTGCGTCTCGTGACAACGAATAATTTTGCTCTCCGGTATATTTTTATTTCATTGGATCTTTTTTCGTGCGATGTATTTCACTAAATTTTTGCTTTGCCACGAGTTCGTAGTACGTGGAAAATGTGACGATTACACGAGAATGCTTACAAATATGTCACGCCCATTCCTCGCTTATAATTATAACCGCGATGTGGTATGTGCTTCCATGACTTTTACTTTGTACTGTAGTGCAAAATATAAAAATATTTGAATATCCTTGTCTCGGTAAAATATAGCGTTACGAAATAGTAAAAATCAGTCCGTTGTCACTGAATAATTGCGGCAAGTGGGACTTGAGACTGTCGTGCGGGGAAATAAGTGTTCCGATCGGATTGAAAATTTGAGCAAAGTGCATATCGTCCATTTCGCGAGAACTGCCTTGGATAAATGAAGGCAGTAACACGGTAGTGGCCCGTTTGATTCGGCAGAATGGTCGAGGTAGCGTGCAGCGCGCCGCCCTGTCCGCCAGTACCGGTTTGCCTGCCGAAAAAGGAAAACCCGTGCCCGAACGGTTCACCCCTGCTAGTGGACGACGGCAGCGCAGCCACCTGCGGCCCTCACGGCCGGAGCTGCCCGTCGACTCACAAGTGTGAATTATCGCCGCTCGACGAGTACGCCGTTTGCTGCCCGAAGCCCCGGGAAGTTTGCTTCGAGGCGCCGAGGAGGGCACCCTGCAGCGGCCCGCAGACCAACGACACCGAACGATGGTACTTCGATCCGGAGTCCAACGAGTGCCGGAAGAAGCAGGACTGCTCAAGCGGCTACAACGATTTCTCGAGCAAGCTCGTTTGCGACAATGTCTGCCCTGTGCTCTCCCAGTGCGAGAGACTTCGCGAGCGAAATCTCAAGACTGCCCAGAAATACAAGCAGCCGTCTTTCTTGCCCAGGTGGGTCTCGCTCATTTCGCCGTCGCTCGCCCCGCATCATAATTACGCCTCGCGCGCGCGTTATGTGCCCGACCGCACGTAGCGCTACTCCACTCGGCCCCTTTAAGCTGGCTTCGCCGACCGAAAGGCCTGCACCGGTGCCGGTAGTATTTGTCGTGCGTATATTTGCTTGTTTGCCGGTGATAAACGAAGCTTATTGCCTTGGTTGATGGATCTCCAAGTAAAATATTTATCATTCCACTAGATACAATAAAGGTCGTGTCGTTCTAAATATTTCGTATAACAATTGGCTAATTGCCAATAACTACGCATAGAAATGAATGTACTCTTGCAAATATTTTTACCAATCACATCAACGATCAGTAGTTACTTAAGATGAAAAAAACTCTTATTTGCCATTTTGCTACAGTAATTTTGTTTTGGCGGCTTGTTAACTCATCTTCTCAAACATACGACGGATCCGCCAACGATATTAAAATAATTAATGGACAGACGCTTGGCAAGCGGACAGACAATTTGAATTATTCAAGCGGAATAGACAAGTAGCTAACGTATTCGCGTAGAAATGTCACATCGTTAAGGTTTATTAACTGGGATACAAACAAAGTTCCATTAAACTTATTAATAAGAGAGATGCCTCGCTTGCAAGGTCACTTTGGTGGTATGAATATTTTAAGGTCTATCCGTTAGGTTCTCTGTCTCGCGAGTTCAAGTCTTCATTAAAAGTTCGTTTTATCGCGTTTGACATATAAATCATCCTGGCAATTGAACTAACTTTGGTTAAAAAATCCGATAACACGGATGTTTTTTCTCGGTGGACAAGCTCCTAACAAGAGCGAAAATCAATAACTCTAAACTGGACGAAGATCAAAGCCAGTGACGACCCAGTTAGTCACTTGCGGCGTGTACGAGTATAACAGAGAGAGAGAGAGAGAGAGGGGGGGGGGGGCTTATATATGCAGACACACATCCGCGCGACTAATCAAAGCCTCGCACTCTAATATCTTTCCGCAGGTGCAACCCAGAGACAGGAGCATGGGAGTCTATACAGTGTCTCGAGCATGTTGGCGTATGCTGGTGCGTGAACAAGAAGGGCGAGCCGATCAAGGGCTCTTTGGCACGCGACACCGAGCCCAAGTGCAACTTCCGTCAGGCGCGTCGCGGCCGCGGAGGCGCCAGCAATATGGAAATCGACACGGAGATCAAGGCTTACATGGAGAACGCCTTCTTGGGCTTGGCGGCGGAGGGTCGCGAGATCAACAAGGTGCTGGGTAGCAGGTGCCAAGCAATGAGAGAGCGTGGCTTTGTGCCTGCGATCTGCGACAAGTACGGACGTTTCGAGCCGACTCAGTGCGCCGCCGAGACCTGCTGGTGCGTGGACGAGGCTGGCAACCAACTGGTCGGCTCCGAGCCTTTTATCAAGGGCACCAATATTTGCCGTAAGTTCGCTTTATCCTCGTCGCTTGGCCGTCAGCTCGGAGAAGCTCGCCGAACGCGCCAGCCGCGTATACGCCTAGCTTCGCTCGGCGCGTAGTGCTCGCCAGATCCGGAATGCGTCCTCGCTATCGTTACATTCTCTTTGTGCGCTGCAAGACTCGAGCTAATTGGTTAAACTCTCAGTCGTGCAGTCCTCGACGATTGCTCCGGTAAATAACATAAGCTTTGTTGTGCAGTGCCGACTCCAGTGGAAGCCGTCGAAGTCACCCTTCACTTCCCGGGCAGCTTCCTACCCATCGAAGACGAGCCACTGTTCGCCAAAGAGTCCACGGACTTTTTGCAAGGTCTGGGCGCTCGTTTGAAGGACGGCGTACAGGTGGAGATAGGCCAGGAGTCAGTGGTACTGGCATTCGAAGTTGTTGGCCCAAACAAGGTGGACGTGGCGTTCCATCTGGAGGAATTGACACGCATGCAGAAACTGAGCGTCCTGGGCTACTTGGCCGACGCGACGACGTCGCGATTCACACATCGCGTCACCTCGGGCATAGCCAACAATCGCGTGGTCGCCCTTGAGCAGCGCGAGATACTCACTCAGCTCGACGCGCCTATCTTTCAGACGGCTACCCTCGTACTCGCCGCTGCCAGTGCTTTCATCATCAGTAGTTTACTCATTATTTTGGTGCTTTATCGTAAGAAGGTACGTCGATTCTCTCTTGCAGACTCGCGAAGCATAAATTACATCGATCGATCGACTGCAACTTGTGACACGTCAGTGTATAAATTTTTAGCTAGCCCGCAAAAGCAAAAGCAATTGGAATTTTAGAGCTGGCAATTTTTGACGAGCACGTTATCAGGCCCACGCATTCATAAAATATTTTATTACAAATTCTAGAAAGCGCGTAAACTTAGCAAACGTTTGCTAGACACTCGTTCCAGTTAAAATAAGTGCACAACGTTACGAATTCCAGATGCAGATGAAAAACGCAGCCGAGGCGATGTCTGCGGAGCAGCATTTCCTCGCGTACAACAGTCAGCCGGTCTACGTGATATCCGGCATGGAAAATAGCGAGAAAGAGAAGGAAGCGATCGCGACCAGCCACGAAGTTATCACCAGAACATCCGAGAGCGTCGGCTGAACGCCGTTGTCTAACATCACTTCATATCCGATTTTTCTCTCAATTTTATATCTTCCAATGTCCCTTAACGCGCGCCTGCACAACGCGTTGATCGCATATCATTCTTCAATCATCACATTGCCCTCCATAAACATAGATATCATACCGTCGATTAATCGCCGCCGAAAGTACACACGTTTGTCTATCGATTTATGAATGTACTACTTCTTGTTTTTGGTAAGCTAAAGCCGTTTGATATATTTGCAAAATGAAACAATGGTTCCAAGTATCTTAAATTGGATAGCGTTAATTGAGAAACTTTCTATATCGAATTGACTTTAAGTAATTTCCGTAGGCGGCGAATCCAAATTTATTCAGACCAAACTTTCACATTCCAGTAACCGACATTCCGAATGAACTGATACTTACCGTTATTAATCGTCAAAAAGTGAGTCAAGCGAAGAAAGAGTCCATACAGATACACACACGCTTACCTACACACATGCACGCGTATGTAGACGATCGCAAGAGAGCATGTTTCGGGGGATACTTGTATACCGAAAATTTTTCTTTTTCATCGTTCGTACAAATATTGTACACGCGTGAAGGACAAGCGATGAGAGGAGTCGCCGAAGGATGTAGGAAAAAAAAATTTCGCGAATTTTCCGCTCCGGCGACGACGACGTATTGAAGATGGCGATGAAGAAAAGAAGTACCCGAGAGAGAAAAAAAATGACATCTCGTCCGAAGCGTTTTATTTGCACGGGGCTCTCAGTATGAATACAACGCCTCGGCGAGTGTCCGAGCACGTTTGGATCTCCCCGATATATGTATATCGAGGACGGTTCGAACGCTCGTACGCTTCTCGTATCCCCCCTCCCCTGATCCCCAATCCCCGCGAAATGGTTACTTCTTTTTCTTAAAACTGGGAATGTATATATTATATTTATTAGGCTTCACATACACGGCGAACTTATTATAGCGAGATAAGTCTGACCTTTGATGTACAACACACTAGACATGACATTTTTGTCTGCTTCTCATATTATATACACTATTCTATACTGCGTCATCACCAAATCAACAACATTGCAAAATCACATTTTATTGAAAAGTTATTACGCTTTCCAACCGTTGCAACTACTTTTTTCTTACAATCAGTCCAACGTAATTGCTATCAGATTTTATGGAAATCAGGAACGCGAGACAAAAAATGATTGTAATTGAAAATTCGACGTTTCGTGATCCTTGCCGTATGTTTGCCCTTTTTGTACTACGATGAATTCTTATAGGTGTATTAGCAAATGGAATTTTCAGAAACAACATTATACCAGAAAATTGTCGACAATGTATTTAATATATCTGTAGAGTCACAGTTTAGCTGTAAAACTTTTGCGTTAAAAAGAAAATTTTGAAGTGTAACGTAGCAATAAGTAATCATACAGTAAATAAAAAAAGCATCCTCGTTCGGCAAATAAATAAGAACAAAAAAGAGAATTGTTGGTACAAAACGAAGGTGAACGACGATGCGTTAAGCTAAGACGCTGATACAATGGTGCCCAAATGAGGTGTTGCGCGTCAAAGCAAGGAAACTCATCCGCGCACTCGTAAGGAAAGCTCGACCGTGAGTTCTCCTCGGACGTGTGTGCGTGGATCGACTGCATGAACGAAAGAAAAAAATACGTAGTGTATAGCGCTCTTAATTTATTTATTTGACTAACCCATTAACGTGATTTCAATAATAAATACATTTGAAAAAATATTCATACCCGTCGTTGCTCATTATCCGTACCCGTAAAAAAAAAAGAAGAAAAAAGCGCACATGAACCTAAGCAATCGATAAATTGAAAAGAAACTCGACGGGGAACGGAAAAGCAAAGTCACGTTTAATCGGCAATCCCATTGGCATTTGGAGTAAGCTTTATCGAGTGGAATATCACATAACGCTGCAACGCCGACAGCGCCGCCTGCTCCCAGCGTCGCCTGCAGGTAATATCAGCTGACAGTGCTCGAACCACGTGTTCGCGCGTTACCTAGTAACGCCCGCCAAACAGAAAGTCTCGCGAGCGCATCCGCGCGAGCCGCCGTCGAGTCAGGTATAAGTGACGGCAGATCAATCACTTCGGCTCGGCCTCAGCCTCCGTCAGCGTCGCGACAGTCGTAGCTATATGTACGGACGCGCGCGTCCGTGCGCGATTCGTCCGATGCAGCTTTCACGCTGCTTTTTGAAGTCTAAAGCTCGCCTTCTAAAGCACGCTCAAGTATCGGACGCGCTATTGTCATGACACGATGTTGCAGGGACAGCATGAATCTGAAAAGCTCAGGTAAAGCGATTCTTAGCAATACAATCGACGAGCGGAGTTTCTTGTTGCGAGCAAGCTTTGCTATTCGTTTTCCGTTGGCTCGTCGATATGCGCCCTCGATCGTATATCTGTCAGTGTTCAGTCGAGTGAAATTTGCTCGCGCACAATTTGCTGCCGACCCATGCGTCCGGCTTTCGCGTCGGAACAACGAGAGATGTCAGGACAATAAAGCAAAGATATCGCACTTTTCTTTGTTTACACGCTGGCATAAACGCACAGCTTACAATCAAACAGGTCAGAGTTGCGTGGAGCAGCTGTCGGTGTACAGGTCGATGTGCAGCCATCTGCGACGCGTGCTGATGGCGAAGAGCGTGGTCGACACGCGAAATCCCAGATTCGCGCGAACCATACAGAGGCGGTGTCGGCCGACCAGCTGTAAGCTGAGCTTTTTAGACGGGGACTTTTGCTGCCTGTCCAGCCAGACCATCGACAGATTGGCATACGACACCGAGCACCATCCCTCGGTAAGGCCAACCTTAATGTATATGCCGCTTGAGCTCTCTCGCCTGCTGCCTCTATTTCGTGGGGCTTTCAAGATTCCTGCGAACCACGGCACGCATGACTTTTAGTTTGTTCGGCACAGCTACTTTTTTTTTCGTCCACGATCTTTTCGCGATCTGATTGTCCTTTCGAAACGAAAGAAAAACCATCGTGCGTCGGGCGATTGCATTCGTCATGCCAGCTGCTCAAAGAGAGCACAAAGAACTTGCGTCAGCTTGACTCCTTTAAATGACTTGCAGGAGATAATAAGGGTGACGTGCCGTGGCAAGAGCTCGGCGAAAGAGCGAAGTTGCAGCAGAGGCAGAGAGCGAGCAGCGGTGGCAGCAGCGAATAACGATGCAAACTGCCCGTGTTTACGTCCGGCTACCGCCAAAGGACACACCACCGGCATTAAATCAAACATGAAAAATCAAAAGCGACCGACGGACGACTGCTGTGCCGACTGTCGGGTGCAACTTCGCGCAAAGGAATTTGATTATGACAAGCAGCCAATTTGCGATTCAAAGTCCGACGGCTTGCCGACTTGTCGCAGTAGTAGATCCAGGTACACTGAAAACTCCCGCGGCCAGGTCGACTCAATTTTCCTGTCTTCCGCACGGCTTATTTCAATTTCCATAATGAATCCCCCACGCGAGATCGTCATTATTCTGTTTGCCGCCGATGCCGAGCACGCGCTACGTATATTTGTCTTGGCACTTTTTCCAAAACGTCTCTCGCTTACTCGCGACCGCGTGCAATCTACTCGTGCACTTTAATTGCAAGCGTGCTTGTTGTCGCAATCGTCGCCAATTTGAAAGCTATTTAGCTGGGTGTAATGATGGAAAGTAAAATCGAAGAAAGAATGTCGAATGACAGTGGCAGTTCCATGAAAGTCTAAGGAAAAAAAAACTTGGTCTAGAGAAGTAGTTGAGATGCAAAGTAACTATTAGCCGCGGGTCCTTTTGGAAAAATACACAGTGCAATGCAGCTCGCTCGTCAACGACTGCTCAAGTTCCCATCACAGTTTGCAAAAGAGTACAGCACGCGACAACTTGGCTCTTTTTCCGCTTTAATAAGCCAGTCTGTAAGACATACAGCGAGACAAGAGAGAGGGAGGAGGACAGGAACGGGTAGATAGTTAGTCAAACTAAAAGACAAGCGCGTGTCTTGGCTGCAGGAAGTGGAGCTTGCACGAGGAGACGGCACCGGCCGAAAGTCTACGAGGGGACGAGCAAACTTTTCGCAAGTTGGCCGAGCGCGAGGAGGAGGCGTTGTACGCCAAGTTCGTCTACGACATTACGCAAGAAATCGTCCAGAACGGACTGTACACCGACCGAGAATTAAAGGAAGTTTTCGCCAAGCATCTTGAGAGGAGCTCCGCACGTTTGAACAAGGTAAGATATCCGTTTGTACGCCTGCCAAACCATCCGCCGACCTCGGGCTGTGCACATTTTTCAAATGCGGATGCATCCGAACGCTCAGAGGCGTTCGCGTGCTCTCGCCTCCAGCCAGAACTTGCTTCATTTCCCAACTTTTCTCGGGTTCAGCTCGCCCGACCCATCCACCCTGTTTGCTGTTTCGATTCGACGAATGCACTGATTTTGATGAACTTTCGCAATTAGCGCGCTGCTTCTCAAACTTCCTCGGCTAATATTAACTTGCGATTATTCAAAAACTTCCGCTCCGGCTATCGCATGTGTTTACAATATTTCCGGGAACATGAAATGCGGCCAATCTCATTACTTCATCGACTTCCAGCCTTCATTTCCCGAGATACGTTATTGATTTTTTTTTGCCCATATAAAAGTGAATATTAAATTAAATTATGTAATTTGACGACAATCCGTTAGTGATAGAATTAATTGATCTAGTGAAAAGCTAGCGACTGCACAGCTTGTGATAGCTCCATCACGTAATTGCAGACGCCACACAATTAAATATAATCACGACTAATTGCTCGTCGTTCAGAGAAATGCTTTCAAACGTGATTGCGTTCACTTAAAACTATTATATACTTTAATATAACATCAATAAATAACTCATAGTTTTTTACGTTGAGAGCAATTCATTTTTGGAGTAGTTCAATAGTTCAGTAGTTCAATATGTAAGTTACGCTAATTTGAACTTGTGATGAATAGCCTGAAGATTGAACTTTTTTTTAATCAAAATCTATAGCTGCCGAGTCTAATAATAATAATAATAAGTGTTGACCTACCTGTTATTTGCAGCTAACTGATGCGAAGCTTAAAAGAATCATCAAGAGAAATCCATCAATTGTTCAGTATTTTTATTTTAACTTTTATAGGACAGTCAGAAAGCTGGATGTAATTTTGTGTGTACTGAGGTACCGCCAAGACAAGAACACGTGGCTCTTATGAATTCTCAGGTGTCAAATCTACCTGTTTTCCCATGTTAACACATATGTTTAAGTGCCGTTACTTAAAAAGTCATTAGAATATGTCTATTTTTCTTAACTTTCTTTTAAACGGACAATATTTTTTTTTCCAGAAATATGCCTTATTTTAGCGAAAACGTTCTAAGTAATTGTTTTCTTAAATTCATATTTCATGTTACGAATTTCGGAAGATTGAAAATGCGCCATTTTTTATTAATGTCAATTTTTTTTCAATTTTCAAGATGGACTTTTTCTTTCAGATTTTTTTGTATAATTCGATTTTCTCTAACACTTATCAGATGCCTCAAATACTAAACTTATCGCAACTTTTTTCTCAAATATGCCTGAGTTTTTCGAGTGCCTTGATCAGTAAAGCATTGCCTCACTTTTGAAACATTTATTCAATGTTATTTCTTCGACTGTTACCTCTGTCTTCAAAGTTTAGAATAGTTATTTAATCTGATTTAATTAGTAATATTATAATAAGAGCATAATTTAGTCATTTTTTTAAAAGTAGGGTTGTTTGGCACGCTTTTCGTTTTTGTATTATTTACTGTATTAATTGAACCTTTTGCATGCCAACTGAGAGATTTAAATAGCATATGCGTATGAATAAATCATGCAGTTGGAAATACATTACAAATATAAAGATTTCAATCAAATATAAGAAGATATGAATGGTTCGCTATATGAAAATATAAATATACACCCGTAATACTTAAGTAAAATTAATATTGTTGAACTTTTATAAGAAATATGTAATCTTTTAGAGCTCCTCGGCTTCTTACATAGTAAATATAATAATTCGAACATTTTACACAAATTTTCAAACAATTTTTTTGAATTGACCATATAATTATCTATCATTAAATTTTCTTATAACTTATAATAGTCCATAATTACATTTTTCAAAATCACATTTTCTGTTTCTTTTTGTAAAAAAAATTATTGGCATTTACAAATGTATTATAAAGAATAAATCACAGGGGTTTGCAGGCAGAGTACTAGCAACGACGATGGCTTATTTCAAAATTTTTAAAAGTGTTTACTCATTTGCAGACAAAAAACTCAAGAGTCTAGGTGGTTTGTAGTCTCCCACTCTTCTCTACTAAACGTTTATATTATTATACAATACAAAACCTTACTTAATATCAGTGGTTTGCTGAAATATCAATTTTTTATTTCTTAATGTTTTGAAGTATAATCAAATTCTAATTTTCGCGCTCCTTTTCCTCATCGACCAATCACAACGCTGGATGTCGGCGACTCATCATTTTTTAATATATAAAAAAAATAGGAAAAAGGTTTTCGTTGATTTGGAGCAAATGACTAAATTGGGATGCAGCAATTTATTTATTTATAATTATAATAACATTATAAATGATTGAAAGTATCCCATTTATTTTATCAGGCTTTCGGTTTTAAAGACGATAAGTCTTATGTGTACGTGTTTGTGTGCGTATGTGCGTGTGTGCGAGGGGGGAGTATTTGAGCCTCACATAATTATTTTTTATTAACTCTTGATTTCACAAATATTCATAAAGGGACAATTTTCAAACACATTTCAATACTACAAACAAAATTAGCTGCAGGTGGTGAATATAGTTTTTGAGCTGTATGGAGTTCGTAGTGTGGTGCAGCTTGCAAATTGACAATTGGTCAATTCAACAGAAATCTTTATTCAGCTCGTTGTAATAGGAATGCAATTTTTCATATTTGTATCGTCCTTACTAGAGAACGTGCGTTGATTCTTCATTGTGTTTGGTACCGTCAAAGGTGTGTTTATTGAAATAACAAAAAAGTAAAAACATCCTTTATTCTTTAAAAAATGATGTCTTTCATTTTTGATCAATGTTTATTTAATATTTAAACATTTAGAATCATTTATTTCTTGGCTCGCGTGACGCAATATTCTATCTATTATTCCAATTTATTCCTCAAGCAAAAACCATTTAAATTTCAAACGTTAATGGAGCTAAACATATACTTTTCGCGTGAAAAAAAGTCAGTTCAGTAGGAAATTATCCAAGATCGTACAATGCTAATAATACTATATCCAATGATAATCAATAACTAAAAAGTCGTAGAAATTCAAAGTTATTAATAAGTCACATGTTTTCATTCTTACAATTGTGGCAATTTTTTACTAATCTTTTAGAAACATCAGTATTATATCACTTATTCTACGTTTCTAAATTTATTTATAAATATATATAATAAATTCTTTAAGCATTGATTTTTATTATGTACTTTTTAAAATGTGTTTTCATCCAATACATGATTATATTAACTATTCTCCTAGTTGTAGAACATTGAGAATAACCTTATTCTTATTAAGTAATTTAATTTTCAAATTTTATTAATTTGATTTGGTACAATAACATACATTGGCACGGCGTACTAATGTTTTTTGATAATAATAATAATTACAACTTTCACTGTATCATCGAATTCAATAATTATACAATATATTATTATATGTTATACAGCGCAAAATGTTGTACGAGATATACCAGCTGAAAATCTCTCTAAACATGTTGGAAGACTCTGACGAAGAAGATGAAGTTGAAGCTGATTTAGTATTTGCTGAGAAATTTTCCCATCTCCGCGTACCGAAGCCACCCACACCGCCGAAAGTTTTGAATGAGAATAAAATTATCGAAAAGCTTCAATCGTTCAAAAATCACGAGAATGGAGATCGGAGTGGAATGTCCTCGCCTTCGGGAGGTCGAAAAAGTGTTGTTCTCATCGACGCCAATCCTGAATTTCTTGTCACTGAGCGCGACGTTTTAGCTACTTTAGCGGACAATCGGGTAGAACCACAGCAGATCCAACGTATATATAAAAAATTATTTCGAAGAAGCAAGGACATGTCACTTTGCGAAGCTGTAAGTGTTTTCACTTGACCGATAACAAACTGACGAGTTAAAAAAAATTAATAAATAAAAATCAGGTGCAAGTCGGAACGGAAGTCGCCTATTCGCATCGATTGAAGCAAGTCGATAGGTGCACTAGTGCGACATCGTTAAATTCGACCTACATGAGGGAAAGACCACACGGGATACTTCGGAAAGAGAGCACGGATTTTCTCGGCAAATCTCTGTCTCCGCAAACTACCCGGTGTAGATATAGTTACGTATCGGACAAATGTAACGAAGCTTTAGAAAAGTGCGCTAAATGGAAGACTTGCCCGTACGGTTGCAGAGCACAGTAAGTCTCGACTAATTGAAATTAAATTGTGAAATACTTTTGAAAATGAAGATTCATTAATTGTTCGTTAATGCGTTGCGTGAATTAGTCATCAAAGCCCTTGCAAGCAGCATCAAGACTTGGTTGGAAAAGAGAAGGCACAGAGCCCGGAAAAGATCGCTAGCAAGGAAGTGGTCGCAAAAGACAAACCGGAAAAAAAGCCAAGCCCCGACAAAAAGGTAAAAGTCGTTAAGCAGCCTGCGAAAGTAAAGAAGCCCGAAAAAATAAAAACAAAAAAGCCAATTAAGGTGCTGGTAAAGAAGAAAGAAGTTAAAAGTTCGCCGGAAACTTCGGAGGGTACGAGCAGCCTGCAAGAAGTTATAACGGGTATGTGAAATTCATATTGAAACTAGGGTTAACTGCTGCTCCTTTGTGCATGTTTAATCTATCTGAACTGACTGTGTTCCGTAGAAGAGAAGCACGTAGCATCGAGTAAAGCGCAGAGCGACTTAGCGCAAGAAAACGCGGCGAGCGAAGAGCACATCGAGGAAATCGAAGAAGACATCGAGTCGGTGATCGAAGAATCGCCTACGAAATCATCGCGGAGGTCATCGCCCGTGGAGGATAAGCCCGACAACGAGGACAAAGAGCAAGCCTCGTCGCCCGAGAAGAACAACGACGACAACGACGAGGAGATATCGTCAATCGCAACTGAGAACGAGAGCGCCAAGTACTCGGACGACTTCTCGGACGTGTCGGAAGATAGCGAAGATCCGTCCAAGTTGTCGACTCCCAGGAGGAAGGTGTGAATCCCCGAATGTGATCCTCGTCCTTCTCCCTTATAATATGCTGAAAGCCCTCATTGCTCCCCAAGCTGACTGACAGAACGAGATACGCCTCCATGAAAGACTACTTTGACCATTTCGCAACCGTTGACGAGCAAAAAATCTGGCGCATAAGCGAGGGCAGTTCCTCGTCGTCGTCGTCGACTTCGTTAATGAATCCAGAGAGTGCGGAGAATGCCAATAACGAGGCGCAGCAGCAGCAGCAGCAGCAGCAGCAGCAGCAGAGCAAAATAATCAAAAAGCGCTCGAGCTCGAAAGTATTCATCAACGCGCCGAACGACTCGTGGCGACCGGGTTCGAGTGACTTCTATACAAACGCACTAGTCAAGTACTGCGATCCCGACTGCCGGAACTCCTCGGCTAAAAGTTGTAGCGATAATTGCAAATTCGTGCGGACTAACTGCAGGAATCTCTCCCGACCGACCAATTGTTTGAACAAGCTCAAACAGCCCGTACTTAGCGAATCTACTTCGACTACCTCTTAACTAACTTTTTCATTTGTCGACACTATCTTTCTCTCGCTATTTTCTCTCTTATTTCAATGTATACCTTTTTCGAGGCATTTTTATTATTCTTTCTGCTTTTGCTAGTCAAATTTAATTAACTTTTTTAAAGTCGACGTTTTTACTGCTTATACAAAGTATGTTAAATTTTAAGATAAACGAAAACTGAAACGATAGAGTTTCATTTGTATATACAAAACAAATTCTTATAAGTCTTCATAGTAAATACTTAGTTTTACAAATAAGATTTACAATTATTCTCCTTCTTAATATAGTCGCGATCTAATTTTAAATGACTTTATAATTTAGTATACTAATAAAGCTTATGAATATTTTTTACTTGGAAAAAATTTGTTTTACGATGTACAAACGAGTAAAAATGAGCAATCGTCTTATCCGTAGAAGATAGCAAATGAGAAATAAATAATTATTTATAATAGTGTTGCAATAGATTTTCTTAAAGTATAGGTGTACGCAGTAAATAGTCATGAAATGCAATGTTTTACGTTTATTTCTTTATTCATACAGAGCTTTAAGGGTGCATATCATAATTATTATACAATACTATTTATGAGCTGTCTTTATATTTGAAGATATATTGCATGTAGGTACAGTGAAAAAATATAGTTTATGTACATACGTATTATAAAGTAAAAAATCTTCTTAATGTGTATGAAATTCACACTTGTACACAGGTACAGATTCAATCGTTTATAATATAACTATGCAGTCATAGCTCATATATATATTCACTAAGTATATTTAACAATTACTTGTAAATATACTAAAAGGAGAAAAAGAAGCGGATTTTTCAAATAAAGCTTCTTTATCGTTGGAGCTATTCTAATAAATACTTACTTATTTTATTTTGTACATTGTTACATTTTTCAAACACGCATGTACATTTATTTACGGAGATATGATTCAGGCAGAAAGAACTATGGAAAACTCTCTGCCATAAAACTTACTTGTTACGAGTGTTTAAGGCTTACATTTTTTGTACCGCAAAAATTGATATTTGGTTCACTAGTTCGTGTTCCAAACCTACCTTCCTCGTGGTGATAGTACGTTTGTTGTAAGGACTATTATAGACTTTTTAGTAAGAAAAACAATAGTACTCTCTATATATTTCTAAAAAAATAATAAAGTATCACGTACTAGTCAACTATATATTTATAAAAAAATCACAAAAATGCATATCGTGTAATGTTATCACCGAAAATAAACGCGCAACTATTACTAACCCATTTACTGCGACAGTGAAAACAAAGTATGAAGATGTACGAATATTGTTTGATGCATTTGTGAATAAGTGTAACAAGTGTACGAAAAGTTCTCAAGAGGTGACGATTATATTTACGAGTTGCTCCGAATGGGCCTACATCAAAATATATAATATATGTTGCTCTGATGAGTGGTTTTAAATTTTTTTTTCCAACTTGTCAATCTTATCATTAATCTTACGTGCTTATTAGCAGTGTCATAAGACGAAACCTCTCTACATTCCGTCAGAAGCGTTTGATGAGCAATCCTCATACTCGTGAGCGTCAGGTCCCCGGTTTAGGATTTTTAACAAATCGGTAACTTGCTTTATCGTATAATTCGGTTTTGGCCCGTTGTCAACGAGACGGTTGTCGCCAAATGGTATCCACACTGTTCCTGCAAGTCCAGCTTCGATACCACCTGAGTGACGACATAAACAAACGATTGTTAGGTTGTATTATCAATAGACTAAAGTAATTCAGCATTGAAAGTATATTTGTTTGTCAGTCGTATATTAAGTATTTCTAGAAATGAGATGTTAAATTAGAAATCATATCTGTTTTTTTACCAAGAGGGGCTAAATTTTTTCAAACATTTACACACTACAATAGTATTAACATGTAACTGCAAAATGTTTTCTGAATCCATTTAAGTATAGAATTCTGTAATCATAAGAAAAAGTTATTTCTAGAATCTCGATTTCACATGAAGCTCACCTAGTATATCTGTCTCTAATTTATCGCCCACCATGATACAACTTTCTGGAACAACTCCTAGATATCTGCAGGCTTCCTCGAAGATTTTGGCCTCTGGCTTCTCCCACGGCAGATCTCCGGACACTAGAATAATGTCGAAGTATTGCTGCAAGTTGAGTTTGTGAACTTTTTCCCATTGGGCGTTGGAAGGGCCATTGGTGATGAGACCCAGGAGGTATTTCTTCCTGAGCTGTTGAATCATAGACACGGTATCCGACGAAAGTGCCAAGTAGTGATATCTTAGGTAAAGCCATCTTTCATAGGTTTGCTTGGCGAGGTAGGAATGTTTGTCTCCAAGGGCTTTGCTCCAAAGCGATGTTCGCCATGCGTCCAAACTGAATGCGGTGTTGTCGGGACACTTCCTGAATTGTTTGAGATATGAGGAGGTGAGTTTGCTGGCGCAATCTTGTGGTATTCCATATTCCTCGGACAGCTCCTCTGCAAGCTGTTGGTATAAATTAGGACAAGCCATTATTGATTTTAGCTCGAAAATTATCAAAAATTGCTAGAGCTTGGGAATAAAGGCACATGATTAATTTTATTTTTTTTTGCATGAAATTGAATATGAGATTGAAAATTCGCACTACATTCAATAAACTTTTAGTTTTGTTATCTGCCTCATGAGTGCATGGCCATTCATGTGAAAAAAATAAAAGTTATTGAATGTAGTCTCTGGAATATGAAAAAAATCTTAGGATATAGGAATTTGAGCGGTGGTCAATGAGAACTCTTAATTTTTATTGATGATTACCTATAAAATGCATTGATTCATTCAAATACTCGAGCCGAATAATTGGACTCTTGAAGTGGCATCCACAGATACTGCTGTAATCACAACAAAATGAGTTGTGCCGACAACAGACTTACTGGAAAAATGTTTTTTTCGTTTACAAGATTTCTCCAGTTGTTGTTTTGCATGATTAGAAGTAGGTAAAAAGACTTCGTACAATCAATTTCATGAGACCTTTTATGAAAAATATTATTTACAATATTAATAAATATGATAATAACATTATTGTATAAAAGATAACGCGTTTCTTTTGCGTTAATTTTAATTTGAATTAATCAAATTTATTAAAAATATCTTTGATTTTCAAATTCAACTTTTCAACAATTATGTCAAAACTTTTTACAAGTTTGGTCTCACAATTTTAATAACAGGATTACTGAAGGTGAAGGTGGTTTGTATAAAGAATAAATATAAACAATTTTATGAAATTATGTATCTTTAATTAAAAATCTTTTTCAATACAAATGCTTGCAACAGTTGATAAACATGAATATATAATTAACATCGAACTAAGATTTTTGCTTTACACTGAAGTTTTGTTCATAAATTTATACTAATGAAAGTTCTACATTTTTTTATCACAAATGACGCCAGCAAGTATAAAAAAATTAAAAAAGAATAGCAGAAATACCATTGTAAAAATAAAAAATGCCAGCACTAATTATTGTTATTTGCGCATTGTTGACAAAATATTAACAAGATATGTTAGGAAAAATATAATATTGAGTTTGTTGGCTATCAGATACTATTTTCAAATGTCATGTTTCTTAATAGAGATGAGAGCCACAAGTTTCATAAATACAAACTATTATAGATATAGATATTTTTGTTACTCATCACATCAATTTTTAATTTTTTACATAATATTCAAGTCATCATCTACTGTAAGACTCTAAAACTCTAATGAAAAAAAGCATTATTTTGAAATCTATTTTGTAAACAAAAACATATTTTTCTTAATGTTTTAGAAAAACATGTTTATCCATGATGCTAATTTTATCTCCATATAATGCTGCAATAGTAACAAAAATCGTAGATCGAATTGGACTGATCTTTTATACAAATTTTTAAGTGTAAAGTTAAAATTATATTTAGTATTTGGCATTCTTAACTGATTTCAATAATATCAAAAACACACTCTTATTAGCTTAATGAAGTGAAATGAAATGACAGTATTTATGCTGTACAAGATGACGTTACAAAACATAAATTGCTTTAGTCTCCAAAAAGATGTTTTCCTAATTCCATCATACGATGGTTTCTGCAAACGGTCAGTGCACCTGCTTTCTTGAGTACTGCAGCTACGCTTTTATCTGCCTTGACAAGGTGGCACAACAAGTCTTCAAATGCTGACTTGATATTTGGCTGCAACCCTCCAATCTTAACTTTCTTCAAAGTATCTACAATGCCATCAGCCCATCCAGATTCAATTGCAAATTCTGAGAACCAAGGTACCATATCCAGAACAGCAGCCATAGTTTGCATTCCTAAGAACCACAATTCCATAATTTCCATCCAGTGTTCTTTATAAGATATGTTTACAACCAATTCTGTTGGATCATTGCTTTCATCAACAATGTAAGCATCCCATAAGAATCTTATAGTAGCTTGGATGTAACGACATATTGAAAAATCATTTTTTTTAATACGCTTAGCTTGCTGTTTCAATAACAAAAGTCCAAGAACAGCTAAATTGCCATGTAAAACAAGATTTTCAGGGATCTGCTTGAGTTCAGGCAAACTTTCAAAAATAAACTTGAGTAAGTTTACAAATGTTTGAGATTCCTCAACCAACTTTGCCTCGAGTACAGTAATATTCATCAAGATATTACAGATGGATATCATTGCAGTTCTAGAATCTTGCATTTCTTCTAAAACGTGAGGTTCTAATTCTTTTGGAGGCTCTTTGAGTGCCTTCAACCTCTCAGCTTTAGGTACAGGTGGCTTTTTGTAATGAACAATAGACCAGTGATAAGACAAACACTCAAACAATACCTCATCCTGTTTGTGTTTCAGCAGTATTTTTCTTGCATCTTCATCTACAGTTAAATGGCATAGAGCTGGTAAAAGTAATCTCAAAATATCAATATCACTAAAAAGATCATGTTTTACTGGATCACCAGAGGATGAACTCTCATCTGATTTTGCTAAAGCTTTTGCTTTTTCTGCTAATTTCTTATTTCGACGAGCATAAAAAGTATCATTTGCAATGGTTAAAACATAAGGTAAAATAGCATGAACTTGAGATTTCATAGCTGTGGTCTCTTGAGCTAACCATGCAGCTAGTACTCTTACCATGGCACATACAAATATACGTTCCTTGACATCTGTGATATCTTTCATTTTTGAAACTAATGTTAACAAGCCAACGACTGCAGCAAATGCACCTTTCAGTGCTGTATACAAAGATTGCTTCTCTTTTTGTTCCATATCTAATTGGTCTGTAATAATGTAAGACAATGAAATTTCCAAAATCATAAAACATGCCACAACAAGATCAGCATTAGCCATCACAACTTTTAATTGCTTTCCTTCAAGCTGCATTCTCACTTCAATTGAAGCTAATTGTATTAACAACAGGAAGAAAACTTTGGGCTTCTCTTCATCAGAAAGTGCCCAATCAACACCTAATAATTCTAATATTATAGAAGCAAGTTTCAGAGCTGGATCTCTCTGATTTTTTCCAATTTTTGACGTAAGAATATCACTCAAGCCTTTATAGATGCTCTGAGGCCAAGATTCATTTTTTGCACTTTTTGAAATTGAACTGCGTCTGCATGAAGCAAGTAGAGCTTGCAAAATAGAACAGAGTTTGAATTTTCTTTCATCATGATCTGTTTCAAAATCAAGAGCAATTTTATTAATAATAGCATGAAAAGGTGCAGTATTGTCTGCATCCCAAGCTTCTGGTCCAAACTGGTTGACTAAAGTTACCAAAATATTCAATGCCTCATCGGTTTTAAAGCTTTTTTCAGCATAAATTTCACACATCTTGGGGATGGCCTTCTGTTCTAGTAAAGCCTTTTGCCCTGGTTGAAATTGAGCAATATTTTGCAGACAAGTGTAGGCTTCACTCACGATAATGAGTGTATCATCTGGAGCATCTTCATCAGCTTCAGATACTATTTCCAACAAAGCAGGTACATGTCCAACCATATCGGGATGAGAAGCCAGTAATGGATCGTTGCAAAAGGCAGAGAGAATAGATAAAGCTACTGATTTGTAAACTTGGGGTGGACAGTCTACCGGTACATCATCACTGATTAATAACTTTCTAATAAACTTGGAACCAATGGCTTCAAACAGCAGCTTTTTAGCAGCTGAGTTGCAGTCTTTTCCACTAACTAATTTTGTAGCCATGAATAGCGCTGCAAACTTTTCTGAGTCGCTATTCACCATTTTCAGCATGGCAACACATTTTTTAACTCCATCAGGAATATTTGCTGTGCTATCAACTTCCATTTTGACTATTAAATTTACTTGTAAATTATGTCAATACTAGGGTATTAAAAGTTTTTTTTTTCAACTTTATCATCCAATCATCAATTGTATCAATATATGCAAATTCAAATTAGAAAGAATCTGAATGATTTACTTGTTAGCATGCATTTTTTTCAGCACACAGCCAATTGGCACCATTCCCACAGAGCAAATAATTTTCTGTACTAGCCTTGCCCTTAGACACACTCTTTTGGAACTACTAAAATAACACAATTCAAAGTGATTCCAAAATTAATTGTGGGAATTCACATGCACCTCAAAGCTGGGTAATGCTGCAACTTTCACGGTAAGCTCCAATACTTTCTTGAAAGTTTCTTCTAAAGAAGAATAAATGATTGTTTTATTTGATAGAAGTTTCCGTTGATTTGTTTAGATAACTTAAATAGTCTTCTTAAATAGTCTTCTGATAGCAAGTTGAGTAAACTTAGTTTTTTGTCGATGGGTCGAGGTTTAAGAAAGTAATAGCTACAATTCGCCGATGCGTTACGTTCGGAAGAGGTAGATAGTCTCGCAACGTTCTTCCTACGGCACGACTTGGATGTCTGTCGACGTCCACGAGAGTGTCGAGGATCTAAAATAATCGAGCGAAGAGAGCAAACTATATTGGGCAGAGCGGCTCGTGTTACGCGCGCACCGTTCTATTTTGGCTCCTTACCTCGCTCTTTCACTGTGCACGCGCAGACGATGAGAACACGTACATACACACGCGATACGTACACTTAGCGGGTCTTGACACTTTTTTTTATACGCACCACCAAGAGCCAATAACAACCAGGAAGAAGCGAGAGACCGACTCCCTGGCTGCGCGCGCAAAACGACTATGCTATAAGTGCGTGTGATATATATAGAACGACGTATGTACCCCTTCTACAAATTGAAATTTTTGAGCGGGTTTTCCCTTTGTTTCTCTTTTATACTCACATAAATATTTTTCTCTATATGGATGCCAGGTGTGACCGTATGTATATTTCGGAGCACGCTTTTAGAAAGATTCTTATTTAATGATCAGCTGTTTCCGCAGTTCGAACTTCAGTGCAGAGAAATGGCGTATACGACGTAGAACGTCGTCTGCTGAGAAAAAAATGACGTAGTACGCGTGTGCATGCGCTTGTTTCTCGACAGTGTCGTACTGTCGTCCGATCGACTTTCCTAGAACTATGAGTGATCCTCGATGTGAGAAAAAGCTTGTAAAGTGCATTATTTGCAAAATGAATCCCGCTTTCCAGGGCCACTTCCTTCTGTTCGATACCACTATCCAGCGGGTCACAGTAGATATGCATATGTTTCGAGAATGCGGGGAAATCAAAGGAATAAATAGAGATTGAGAGACAAATAAATGCGTGCGAGTATATATTACAACAACTAATGCGTTGGTCGAGGTAAATAACAAAAATTAAAATGTAGATGATGATGATGCGAACTAAAGGATTATACCTTGCGGCAGGCTAAACTGTCCCCCTTTCTGGTCTCGATGAGGGTGTTGTCCAGGTCGAAGAAAAGCGCGCTGATATCAGCATTCGGTCCATTAACGCGCGCTCGAAAGCCAGCCATTTGCGTTCGCCACTTTTGCCGCTGCTCGCTGTGTGTAAGTGTGAAAGAGAGATAGAGACAGAGAGAGAGATTGTATGTGCTGGAAAACACGCGAGTAGAATGGAGGACCGGCAAGTATGTGTAGCAATGTTCTGCAGGTCACGAAAAGACAGATGACCCGGATACCTCGCGCTCTTCTCTCTGTATTGCTCCCGACGTCGCTGCTTGCTTGCTTGCTAGTCTCACGAGCTGTCCACTTTACTCATTGCTGCTACTGCGCTCTAGCTAAACCCCCTCCTCTCGATGTTTTAGGGCTGGGGCATTTTTTATTGAATGAAGCATGCACCACGCAGGCGCAAACGGTCGAGACGGGCTCTTTGCTCTTTGTTCTTTCCCGAGACTCGAGACTGTCAAAGTCAAACTAACGTATATGTACATATATAGTACGTTCGTGATGTTTTCCCCGAAAGATGACGCCACTGTCCGAGATTCATTGATTTACCTTACTTTGATAAGTTTAAGCTCAAATTGCAGCTCGATGCGTAATAGACTTCAAAATCGTGCCATAAAAAATTAACGAAAACTGCTTTTTTCTTGGGATAGCCTCAACTGTTTCTTTAAAACAAACAAATGCCTTAAATAAAGTTTCTTTTTTTCACAATCAATAATACCTCAACAAATATATGCGGAATTTTAGATAATTCTCTTCTTGTGTAACGACGTATTTCTCAATTTCATACAGCATAATTTACTTTACTTGCTTAACAAAATTTTGATTTACTTACAAAAGTATAAAGAGTGAAACTACATCAGACAAATTCCGCGGACAAAATATAATTTTTAAATATTTGTACTTTTGGTAGTTGCGTTTGTAGGTTGACGTTTTATTCATAAATTAATTAACAAATAAAGGTTACCGAGCGCAATAATCAAAATTTCATTTATCTATATAAGTAACATTAATTCTCCAACAATTAACGTTTCATATTTCAAACGTCTTTTGGAAGTTTAATTACGAAAGCTTCTATTAAGTAAGCTTAAGCTTAAGCCAAGTCATTAAACCATAATTTTAAAGATTGGAAGAAAACGTTTACTGTGCATTACGTCGCAAAAAACCTACAAAATGTTTTAGGATTTATCAGTCTTGCAAAATAAGCGTCGAAGAAAAGAAACGTATAACTTGGATAGAAAAATGATTTGTAAGTACCGATGACTTTTGCATTTTGGTTATAAAAAATAAATAAGTTCGTTGCTATCGTCCGCATACATTTGATTAATATCAATAAAACTACGAGAGTCATATAATTCTTATATCAAAATAGCTTTAAGCAGAATTAATTCATTTTGAATAGAATAAAAAATATTGCATTCATGCTTTTATATTATATTATTTTATATTGTTGCTTTTGTATTATAAGTATCTAAACATGAATTTCAATTTATTCTTTGAATGTTACCAAAATTCAAGAAATTAAAATAGATGATAGGTGAACGCGAAATGCTTCGTTCAATTAGATTATTATTATAGTTAAATATCTGTATTTTATTTTTTATAGTTCAATTATTTCGGTAATTGAACTATAATACATACGTACGCATTTTTTATGAAACAAGAACATATTCTTTATGCGATCTCAAAATTGTGAATTAATAATTTATTTCATCAATAATTTTTTTCAAAATATTTCATCAATTCGTGAAATATTCTAACGAAAGATAATTATACTCATTGTTTAATTTCATGTTATCGAAGCGCTCATTTACTACGTAATAACCAATTCCGATCCTAAAATCAAAAGCACGAACTTCAAATTCGAAAAATGGTCTTGTCCTCGTATGTACAATGATTGTGCAATAGACAATGCCACGTCCAGTACTGTAATTGCAAGCAATTGCTACATAGTCATAAGCATTGTGAAAAGATTAAATTAAGATGGTGAATTCACCTTGAGATATATTCAGTCACAACGACAAAAACTATAGAATTTTTGTTTTAACTTTATTTTATAAAAAATAAATAATTTTAGAGAATTTATTTAAGGAAATTGATGAACGTGAAATAATCAACTTTTTAAAAAGCAAAACAGTAGAGGCTATATTCAATAAGATGAATATGTTCTATTTATTATATTCCAATAAAAAATTACTTTGTAGCAGGTATTCTATATGTTTTGCATTTAATGCTCATTGTAAGCGCCTATGGAAGCTTCGACCAAGATGTCAATTGGAGTAGTGCTACATCTTTTCATGATTTTCATGCTCGAGATCTTTACGGAAACAATGTTTCTCTTGAAAAATACCGTGGCCAAGTTGTTATTGTATTCAGTGGAGCAACTCGCTGTCCAGTTTCTGCTAAAAACTTCAAACAATTGCAGGCGTTGTATGACAAATATAATACAGATGGTTTAAGGATTGTAACGTTTATAGTTGACGGATTAGCCAAAAATTCCGGTACTGCAACAGAAATACAGGAGTATATAAAAAGTATTAACACTCCTTTTGATGTATATGAAAAAATTGTTTATGATGGTGACAACGCCCATCCTTTGTATAAGTGGATAAAATTACAACTTCCAAATCAGGAAAAAATTCAGGTATCTTCAAAAATTTTAATTGATAAAGATGGTAAAGTCGTTGACAAATATCCTGCCACGGGTCCCTCGGATTTGGAAGGCGCAATAAAACAATATCTTTAAATGTAATATCTCTAGATTCTAGTAGAAATAAAATAAAATCAGCATAATGAGTATGTAGAAATAAATATTCTGTATAATATTTTGTATATTATTTTCTTACTGAACTATGAACTTCCAATTAATCAACAATTGTGAACCAGATAGCATAGACAATTCTACTTCAATAAAAAATGGTCCTATTATTAAAAGATAAATATTATTAGTAACCACTGTTGACTTTTCATTGAGCGTTTACAAACGATGTATGAAGCGCATATTATTAATAAATTATATTGATAGCAAAATTACATGAGAAAGTTATAAGTACAATCGATTTGGTACTCTGTATGGAAAGTTTTTCATTTCAACCATTATTCCATCATAATGAAACAGATCACGTACATACTTCATGATTTAGAATTACACTGATTATACAATCAATTCTATGAATAAATTAACCCCAAACGTTCATGCAAAGGGGTTTTTGTGAAAGATATTTAATTTTAATTCTAGATTGAACCTTATCATAATCAAAATATACACAAATAAAAATACATGTCAAAGTATTATAATTCGTCGTATAAAATTTAAGTTATAAAATATATAGGGCTACACGAGTATGAAGTTTTCAAATCAGATAACATTTTGTTATTTCCGATCCATAAATAATCCACAAATAAATTAAACAAATTCTCTATATCAAACTTATAAAATTAATAAAAAAATTTGATGACATATAATAAGATTTTACTCTCTAAATTGCGGATGTGCCTAATAAGAAACATAGTTCAACGTAAATCATTTCAGTAAGAGTTTGATTTCGTCTCATTAAAAATTTTGCATTACATTCTTAACCTTGATCTGAGCGATTGCTGACTCAACGTCCTACGACTTGGCTTGATAGGCGGGCATAAACAAATTCTCTGTTGAATGTACGAGAATATAGTTACTTCGCTTGCCTTCTTTGCTTGACGATCAGTCGAGAACGAGACAGTCAAGAGGGAAGATTGAGTGCAAGATGTTACGTAAGCTATCTATTTTAGTATTCATAATTTCTTTTATTTTGTTTCTTTTGCAATAATAATTTTGAAATAATAACCTTTACATATTTTAAATTATTATCAAATACTTTTAGAAGTTATTATGTAAATATAATAATAGTTGTATGATAGTTATATTGCCTACAGTTTGATTGTTGTATGTATACATCAAATAACTACGAAATTTTCGATACAATAAAAAATAAACTTTCTCTCGTCGTCTTAAGAACATTAATATTTAGAATTAAAAATAATCGGAATTATTTTTGTTTGTAATAAATTGCGTTATGATTCTAGTTCGTCAAATAATACTAATAATTATAATGCTTTGATAATTATTATCAAATATTCAAACTATACATAACTTTCGTTACAAATATTATTCTATCTCGCATGATATTTTTGCTATTTCTAATACATTTAATTTTCTTAAAAAAATGACTTATTCAATTTAATAGTTTGTATTTCATGAACTAATTTTTTGATATATTACTAACTAAGTTCTTTTATAAATGTAGGAATTGCTATCAGTATTGTTCTTTTTTGCATTGTTGGAGTTCTTGGTCAAAAATTGGATCAAGACAAAGATTGGAGTCAGGCTAAGTCTATCTATGAGTTCCATGCTAAAGATATTCTTGGAAACGATATTTCATTGGATAAATATAGAAATCATGTAGCTATTATTGTAAATGTTGCAAGTCAATGTGGATTAACAGAAACAAATTACAAGCAACTTCAAAGTTTATATGAAAAATATGGAGAATCTAAGGGTCTCAGGGTACTTGCGTTTCCATCGAACGAATTTGCTGGACAGGAACCAGGAACATCACAAGAAATTTTGAATTTTGTTAAAAAGTATAATGTAACTTTTGATATGTATGAGAAAATTCTTGTAAATGGAGACGACGCTCATCCTCTGTATAAATGGCTAAAAACTCAAAAGGAAGGAGCAGGAACCATCACAGATGCAATCAAATGGAACTTTACAAAATTTATCATTGATAAAAACGGGCAAGTCGTCGCTAGATTTGCACCTACAACTGAACCCTTTGAAATGGAAGACACTCTGAAAAAATATTTCTAACTTTCTTGTTTTGGTATTTAAATTTTTACAAATTTGATAAAATATGAGATTTAATAATTCAAGACTCTTTGTAATAGAGCCATTGTATTTTCATACGACCTATAGTATTGTAATTGATATTATAAGAAAACGATTTTATAGTTTATTTAAATAAAATTATTCTATTTCTAACAAATTTTCGTTTATTTCTTATATTGCAAAATTTATTGATTTCGAACGTTTTCAATATACATTTTTAAATACCAGTATAGTATAACAACTTATGATGTTATAATGAAATACTTTCTATTTTTGATTAATAGATTTATTGCTTATAAGTCTGATATTTAGTTTACACGACTTAACTATCTGTACAAAAATTATCGCTAATATTGCGCAATTGACATTTTGAAATACTTTTAAATACATAATTATCTAATATTATTTAGTTATGGTAATAACATGTTCTTAATCTAAATGATTTTTTAATAATTCAAAATAAACGCATTATTCATAAATGGAAATAATAACAATAATTTTAATTGACTTTCTAAAAATTTTAGTCATATGATATGATGGTACATAATTTCCATATCTTATTTTAGTAAAAGTATTAAACTATATAAAAATCTGTATCTTACATTCTAAATAATTTGTATGTATAAAATTCTATGTACAATAACTTTCTTACATTGCTTCAGGTATTTTATAAGAGCGAGACCTGATTAACAATAATGGTTGTTATGATTGTTATGTCTCGGAATTATTTGCCTTTGTTAATATTTGAAATTTTTAATTTTAGATGTTAAAAAAACAAAAAAAAATATTACAATTGACATAACTAATTTACTATAAACTAAAATAAGCTAAAACATCTCAGTTTCACTTCAGCGATGACTGAGGAACAAACTTATAAAATATGGACGGAATTGACATGTATGGGCTTTTAGCTATCTGTCGTTAGCTGTATAACTAATATAAATAAATATCCAATTTATGTATAAATTACATAATTTTATGCGATTTCTTTCGCAAGGCCGTTACTGCCATTAATCGTAGTCATTTCGTGTTCAGAAGATCGATTTCGACCATTAGGAACTGTTTCTTCACAGGTCTGTAACACAGAATAAATTATTATTCTTTGCTCATAAATGTTTAATTGTTATATACAGAACATTAATTTTAAAAGATAATAGGGAAATTTTTAATTCCGATAAGGACAAGGCTTAACACAAATAGACTATTAAAAATATAAAGTGTATGAACAAAAGGAAAAAAAAAGCAGTGAATTACCCATAGTTTCTTGTTGTAATTCTACCTTGTAGGAAGGATTGTCGTAGGCTGACGTAGTTTTTCGTGGTGATATATCAGCCTTGCTACTCGTCCTTCTTTTCATAAGCATCATTAGAAGAATCAAAGTCGATAGTATGGCTAATGAAGCTACTATTGCAACTATAACCAGCGGTCCATAGTAGTCACCTTCGTGAAGAGATACCGATGCAAGTTTACCTATAAATCAAAAAGTCAGCATTCATTTTGTAAACTCCTTGCAAGGTGACGTGTACCTATTGCAAAGCCATCAACTATTAATGAAAAATACTTTCGCATTATGTCAAATAAAAAATTGTAAAAAGACAACATTATTTTCATAATTATAATTAATTCGAAATAATTATAGAGCTTTATGTAGAAAAAAATGAATAATCTAACACTTATAAAAATTGAATGTTACCTTGCTGTTGAGAAGCACCGGGTGGTAACGAAATTCCCGGCTTGGTAACAAAGTCTTGAACGTTACTCTTCTTGACTTTACCGTTGGTCAAGTAAACCTCTATCCAGAGACGATACCGAATTCCTGGTTTCAAATCGCTAATAATTGTTTTCGCTGGCGAATCCTTTTTAGCAATTTTGAATGTGCTCGTATCCTCTTTACCGCTGTCGCTCTTGTACACTGCTCTATAAATGTTAACATATTTATCTTGAGGTTCTGGTACACCACTCCACGCTACTTCGACTTCTGTAGCTTTGACATTTTTGGTTTCTACTTTAATGTCGAATGAATACGGATCTACTTCCGATTTAGTTGTGAAATTAACCTGCAAGTTGATAATTTATCGGTTATGCATCGTTTATTTATCAGTATAACTCGAATTCTAATATAAGTATAATTTTATTTTCCCTACAAATGTGATACATTCTACAAATTCATGGAATAAAATTAGCAGTTTTTTTTTTAATTCACTAAAATAATACAATATAGATAAATTATTGATGTAAAAAATTTTACTACTATATTTGTTATTTGAGTCTTTATAAGAAAAGCCATGACTATTAGTATAAAATTAGTAAAGAAATAATTTTAAGAAATCTTTACCCTTTGACCGTTGATCAGGACATTGGCTTGTCCGATAATATCTTTAGTGCTGAGATGAACTTCGTAAGTTGTCAACGGTCTCAAATGATCAAGAACGTAGCGATTTACGCTTCTATGTAACAATGGCGTTACAGAATAAGTCTTCTCATCTGCGGCTTTGTACATAAGATAAATGCCGTCAACAAACTGCAACTCGTAATCGGTGAACTTCTTCCACTCGAACTCAGCAAAGGTGGCATTAACATCAATAACTTTGAACTCAGGATCAATTCTGAGATCAGCTGGTACCGATGCTCCCGATCGTTTGTCGAGTGTGCGAACTTCGTAGACTCTACTTGAATGTACATTGGACAAATCACGTAACCTTACCATTATCATAAGCTTGTATGTAGTTGCAGGTTTCAAACCACTCAGATCAAATTCAAGTTCCTGAGTGTCAATTAGATCTCCAGGAGGAGCAAACGTTTGAGATTTCCATTGAGAAGGTTCACTACTCCTGCAATAAAATTATGATAAATTATTTGAAAATTAAAACGTCTGTTACAAGTTTTTTTTCTTTATCAAAGAAGACTGTTGGTTAATAAAATGAATGATCCCGTTATTAATTGATAGAATAATAAGTATGCAACGATGTAATACATAAATATAACGTAGTATTAATTTATTTTTTATGAATAGAAAATTAATGTTTGATAGATACTTACGATAAGTCGCTTGTGTAACGAACTTCCACTCGGCCATGTAGTCCGACTAAAAGAGCAGGCACCGAGAACACCAAGCGTACACTGTTTGAACTTATCGCTCGCAAATCTTCAACATTTATTTCGTACGTCTGAGGTGTGGGTATATTTGCTTGACCTAATATTTCATATGGATTGACTGGTGGAAGACCGTGGCCATATTCTGCACAGAAAAGTATACTTCATTAGATTAAATATAAAGAACAGAGTGTCTGGCTTATTCAGCGTTGTAATAGACTTTTCAATACATGCGTATTTATAAAAATAAAAGCTTAAGATGGGGAAAGAATTTCGAGTAAACTTTGAGCATATATTTGAATTAGTTAAATATTTTAATTGATTATTTTAGTTCCTCATTATTTATGCTTAAACTTATTATTTACGTTGTATAGCTGGAAGGGATTACAATAGCATTGTAAAATTTTATTAACAGTTTTATAAACACTATTATTAGTTATCGTCTATGCTGTTTAATTTTTTGTACTATTCTATCGCATTCGTGATGGCTTGACGCGGATTTCTTAAAAATATAACAATACTCTTCGCGTAAAAAATTGAAATCCAGCAATACCTATTGTCTTAAAATTAATGAACGAAGTGGATTAGATTTAAATCTATATATTAAAATAAAATCATTCGAATTAAAAATATTCTCGGCGCATCCTCAACGAACGCACCTGTCTGACCAGCATCTTGAGGAACAAATCCGTGCGGACCAAGATGTGATGGTACACCAGCCTGAGCTGGGTTAAGATCGCCAGCACGTGGAGGTAATTCACCAGGCTGTTGCTGTACAGGATAATGTTGTTGCTGATACAGGTTTGCATTAGGATCATGCTGAGCAATATGAACAAGTAAGTCCTCCAATTGCTGAGGTGTACTGGGTACTTCAGCCGCATGAACATGATAGGTTGTCTGACCACTTTCATCCTTTTGCGTAAATATCTGCGGCTTGCTTCCTTTTTTCGAAGGTCCAAAGTAGTCTGATTGCTGAGGATATGGTTGACGACCTTTATCTCCAGTAGCGATTTCTTGATGAATATCATACAGTCCAGGATGTCCCGTAGGTGGTTTGTTGTTCAATTCAATCAAGCCTGGATGTTGTTGATTGATCAGATGATATAGTTCATCTGGGATGGCATCAGGATTCTTTTGAGAGATCTTGATGGATGATGGTTTTCCTTTTTCATCTGAAACTGGTAGTTTTTTCTTGGACACTGGTACGACGTTATTGGGATCTTCAGGCCGAGATCCATAGGCTGGTCCAGCAGCTGTATTTTCCACAAGGGTATCAAAATGAGATTGCGGAATATTTTCACCGTTGGCTGGAGTGAAATCATGATCGGGCACATTCAAAGGTATGAATTGTGGTTGTTCAACGTGTCCTGGAAGATCTTTGTTTAAGCCCGGAAGTTTGTTTGGACTGGCGGGTTTAGAAATCGGTGAGATGATTGGTTTTTCCGAAATGTGGGGTTTCTCAAGGAAACGATCGGGCGCTAAAGGACCCGGGAAGGTATCGATGTTATCTTTATGAGATTTGATCAAATCCACGGGTTTTTTCGAGTCAGATTTTGATTTGTTCTTCTCTTTGACTGAAGCCACCTTTTCCGTGTGATCCAGATGAAAAACGTCTTCTATGCTCGGCTGCGTTGGCTTAAAGTCAGGATTATAGGGGCCAATGTAAGGAACTGTAGGGTGACCCGGGTCCATGGGGTAATGAACGACATCAGAGTTAGGAGGAAACTGAGGTTGGGGAGGATGAGTGGTAGTGAGCCATGGGAACAACGTAGCCTGAGGAGGCTTCTGACTTGGCTTACTAGACTGTGTTTTATCTTTTGACTGCTTGGCCGTTGTGTCTATAGCTAGAGGACCAGGGAATACGCTTGTAGTCGAGTTCATTCCTGTAATTTAAGATAGTCGGCGTTGGGTCACTCTATCAAGTTTTAAATGTAAATTTTACAAAAGCCAGTCCACTGTCCATGCATGCTACGCAATATTTATACCATTATTTGGATATATTTTTAATATTAATATTATAATATATGACTTTTACTCTATTAAAGAAAACTAATAAAAAATTTATTTCGGTATAAAATACGTTTTTTAAATATTTACGTAACAAGTTTGCTTAATTTTTTTTATTGCATTCGGTGCTTATCATTTTCATTTAAAATATTTTTATTGCTATTCAGGTATGTAATAACAATAAGTCAAGAATTTTCATCTTTAATTAATTGAAAATCTGTAAATTATCAAAGCTTTTAATAATATCATTGATTGAAATCAGGAACTGAATGTACTTTATATCTTCGAAAAAAAATTTAATTTGTTTTGTAACATTCAAAATAATGATAAAACATTTGTAAAATAATAAAGAGTTTGATAAATTTCATGCGAACAATTAAATATATTAAAAATATATCAAAATATGATTTTGATTCATTGAATTTACAAAATTTTTACAATATCTACAAATTTCAAGTATAAAAAGCATTTTTATATCATGTATATGCTTCAAAATGCACACATACTTTTCAAATCATAAACATTTTACAAACCAAAGCTTTAATACAGCACTAACGAAGCATGCATTGTCGCTATGACAAGTACTTTGGATAAAAGATATGTACATGGAACTCATTATATTTTAGAATGCATGTCGAGTAGTGTCAATAGCAAGTCCGTATAGGGGTTTTAAAAGGAACAGGGTCAGCCAAATAAAGGTGATTTTAACGCAATATACCTTTCGTATAAAGCAATTGGGTCCAAAACCAAGGTAATATGAAAAACGCCAAATAACTTTAAATCCGTTTGGGAGCTTTGACGCATTCGCAAAATAATACACCGTGGATCCTGCCTGTGTTAGTATTTAAAAACAACCGAGTACCGCCAAATCCGCTTTACATTATTTTTCGTATGCTCAACAATATAAAAATGTATATACACGTCGAAACGCATTTTTACATAATCGTAAATTTCGCTTCATAACAATGTTTCAAAATTTTTGACCACCATGATTGTATTTAAACATATTTAAAATCTTTTCCATCACCATATGGTTAATAAGTTGCAACTGTTGCAGCTAGCAACTTTTCAAGCACCAAAATAATTCATCGTCAAACGTAGCACATATTCTACAAATACAGCCTGCTTTCCACAAATAAAACAAAATGTAACGCAAACGTTTTGTAAAAATAAATATAAAGCATACCTGGTCCAATCGGTCCACTCGAAGGGGGGCAAGCCCAGTGTAGACAGCAAGAGTCACTTGGCAAATAGGTAAGAATGGCATTTTGTGGTTTGCAATTAAGAGTACTCGATGGCTGCGGTGGTACAGGTGGACAAATAGGATTGCAGGTCACATTTCCAAACTCGCAGTAACACTCCTTTTCGCAACCTGTTATGTTGGTTGGCAGCTGCGACCAATTCTCGTACATTTTGCCTTCATACATGCATGATCCGTTATTTCGGCATCGAACTTCCTGCGAAAATGATTACCACGTAATTCAATTTCATCCGTTTCAATAATTTTTTTATGGTGTGATTTTCAAACGTACTTGTGGACAACAGTTTGGAGCTTTCGGCACGTGATTGGGCGGTACAGTTTCCCAATCTAAGCAGTGAGGATCAAGCACGTCGAGACCAAAGTCCGTGGGGCATTCGATCGTGACACATTCAACTTGAGCGGTTTCGTTGCAGAAGCACACCGCAATGCATTCATCGTGCCACTCGGCACCAATCTTGTAGGTTTTACCGCGATGGTTGCAAGTACCCTTTTCGCTTTTTTCCGTAACGCTAGCTTTCGGCACTTCGGCGAGTAATGATACATGAATTGCTTGACCTGTTCGCGGACCTTCCACGATACGAACATAATAGCCGTGACCTGGTTGTAAATTCGATAGTATTCCGTCTGGAAAATAAAATTCAATTACTTAATATTGGGATTGCAACTAGATCAACTTTTGTTTGCACAATGCTTACCTTTGGTAGGTTTGACTTGTCTCCATAGATGATTATTTTCTGAAATCTCTACCGTGACTTCGTCTGGTAACTTTGAGGATAATTTCAGCTTGATTGCAGTCGAATTAAGTACCTTTACGTCCGTTAGGTTGACAGACAAATCCGCTGGACCTTCGGGCTTTATTTCATGATCGCCCAAAGTAACGTCGCACAATGTAATGCTACAGCAAGGGTCTCTGCAAATCAGTCGTCATAAAGTATTATAATTGCTTCCAATTAAAATCATTTATAATTTCGTTGGAAATCTGTAATACCCAGGATCTTTCAAAACAACGCAGCGATCGTGCTGGTTAACACCAGTCGTCGTTTCATTTGGGGGACACCTCTGCTGGCACTTCAAATGACCTCCTGCCTCGCAAATACAAATCTTTGAACATCCGTCTTCAAGTTTCTGTCCACGCGCAATAGTTGTGTTGCCGAAAACGCAAGTTTCGTCTGGCTCGGGTGCTAAATTAACATTTGCAATGAAATTTATTATTACGCGTTAATTAATGTAATAGCATATAGAAAGTCACTGTTAATGTATCTCACCAGAATCGCTACAAACTAAAATAGCACAGCACGGATTTTCTGGCAGCTCGCGAGCATTACAAAAAGGATCACTGTTTTTCCTGCCCGCTCTGATTAACGGTGTTCGACACATGGGCTCGCAATCGATGATTTTACCTCCCATACCGCATAGGCATTGCTCGTCGCAGCCTCGCTTGATTTTTTCTCCGATGGCATAAGTACGGTTACCATCGATACACATAGGGGCAACTGTTGACAATGGATTTACCATTGTTACGTTTGCTGCTGATGTACCGTTATGTGAGGCTATGTACTCTCCACCTATAAGTGCGCCAAAAACAACATTAATCAATACGATTAGCTATATAGCAATGTGTTTTTGGATGTCATTCTAATATCTTGGATTTTGTTTCATTGATATTTATTTCAAAATATTACTTTATTGTCGAAAAAGACACGAGATTCAATTGCGAATTTTCCAAGAGCAATTTAAAAATGTGAATATGTGAAAAATGCTCATGACACCACGGATAACCGTAAAAGGATGAATCTTACATTTTTCGGAAGAATTTCGGTTTCTTTTTTCTGAACAATTCTCTTTTCAGGCTAATGAATTATTCCACGAACGTATTCGCGAGTTGATTGCTCAATATGCCGAAATGGCCGATGATTACCATTCTCAATTTACTCACGACTTACCTTCCACCTCCCTATCCTCGTCGTCCATGCTGACATCACTGAGGTCAGTGGTATTGGAGTGCAAATTATTTGTAGGTTCGCCAGCCGAAACGTTGAGAGCTCTCGCACGAGACATCGCCGTTCCCACCACAGTCGTCGTGGATTCCATCTTTTTAGTAGCCTCGGTGGTGGTTGAAATAGAGATTGGTTGTTGCGTGGTCGACGTCGGCGTCATCGTCGTCGTCACCTGTGCGATTGACTCGCTTCGCCCCAATAATGGCAGTTCGATAGTATAAGGCACCTTTTCCGCCAATTTCATCGATTTTTCGTCGACGGTAGTTGACCACGTGGTGGTGTCGAAATCGGCTGACTGAGTAGTTGTTTCGACGCCATCGTTAACTTTGACGTCCTTTGACGATAACGGTTTCTGATGTTTAATCTCAGGCTTGGCTTTACTAAACTCGGCGATGGTCTTTTTCTTGAGTTCAATGGGTGGTTTCGAGTCCGGTGGAGTCACGTCGCTGCTGGTCTTCTTCGCGGAGACTTCGGAATCCAACGGTTTCACGCCTGGCACAATGTCGCCGTCCTTGCCTGCAAGCAGATCGAAACGGATGGAGGTCGTTTAAGTAAAGGAGGACAAACAGATGCTACGTGAGAGTTATGTATGTACTCTTATGGCCAGTACAGGAAGAGCTTCTGTCAGACAGTGATGAATAAAAAAAAGTGCCTTTCCTTTTTCTTGGAAATCTTATTTTCTACGTTATAGAATTGCTTTTTTATTATTTTCTACGTTGGTTTTGTTTGAAATTGGCTTTTTAATACCGAAATTAAGAGTCGTGAAGAGTTGATTGCCGCATGCCGACAATTCAATTTACTAACATCAAACTACCACAAGTCGGAAATTAATTAAAATACTGCTACAAATATAAGACGAGATCGTAATGTATAACACGTGATAGTTTGACGCGGTAAATTGAGATGTTAAATGTTATTAGAAATGCATTTTCTAACTTGACCGCTTATATCTACACGAAGCAGGAAACATTAAAAGGAAAGAAACTTGTTCCACGACGTCACGGAACAAGGCGTGTATCCTCGTACATTATCGCTCACTTCTCGAGGGTCAATCCGTTACGATGGCTGATATACACGTACTGTCGCTTAGGAAAGACACAGCAGCAGTAGATTTTGGCGACCTTCATGATAATGAAAACCCCGTTAAATGCAAAGTATGTAGTGGCGTATCTTCGCGAGCATTGTAGAAATCATCTCGGCGAATCGAACAATGGGCAATCAAAAAGAAAGGTCATTCTCATCCGATCTTGCAAACATCTACTCATCGTTAAATTAGGTTGACTGTTGAGTTGGTAATGAAAGATAGTTTTTCCATTTTGAATATTGACAAGTTTATTATTGAGAGTGCAATTAGGGTCGCGAACATCTCTCTTGGCTTAATGAAAGAAATGGTCACCTCATAGACCGACAGCCTGAACATAGTACGCGCGTGCATAACGCGTAAGGAAGGAAATAACAGCTGTCGAATGCTTTCATTATACTCATGTACGCACGCGAATTTGAAAACTCATAAGCTGTCGTTGCAATAAGCAACAAATGCAGGAATCCGCAGTAAGCAGAGCGCTTGCGCCGTGCAAAATTCAAGAAGGTAAAACGAAGTATGCCACACCCTTGACACACATCTATGTAGCAGATACATGACAAATTAAAATTCGAAAATGCACGTGATTGTGCGTTTTCGTGTTGAAACTTTACACAGCTCTCCAAGCTCGGCGCCACCATTGTTTCATACCAGTGCATTTTATTAGAAGCTCTTTATGTTATCTTCGTAATTAATTGAGTCTTTTTGAAAAATATCAAACGGAATTGTAGGACAATTAAGCGCGATTAATATCTCACTGTCTTCTACCCCATTGTTTATAAAGCCTGAGAAATTTTGAGAAAGCACGTGGAATTCACAATGGATTACTTTCTGCAATGAATCAAATCGCACGCTCGTGGCCATTAGAGCGGCTTGTCGCTCCTTTTTTTTGTTATTTTGTGAACTTCTTTATAAGAAGAAAGTAAGTAATATAGTTATGTTTGGATAGAAATGTGACCGTGAGAAACAAAGAAAGCAGAATGCTAATATTCCTTTGTGAAGTGCTTTCTGCCTGCGAACGATTTGCATCCTTAGAGCGATGTTCTCGGCATTTAACAAGAAATTAACTTAGTTTAGGTATTTTTAGGAGTTTTATCCATTGTAAGATAAAAAAAGAAGTTTTTACAATTTACAACAAATATTATGACCTTTCGTAACACAATACGCATAGCTTTGATTACAGTTATGAAATTCCATTTGTAAGCAACGATAAAAATAACTTGACCGCGGCAATCATCGACGGAAGTAATAGCTGAAACGCTAGTGCATGTACAAAAGCATTACAAAGAGAGAAGCCGCCATAGAGAAACTGAGGTGAAGAAACAGCGCCGCTCATCATCATCATCATCATCGCAACACGATGCAACCCTTTTCTTCCCATAGACCATCGACCGTTTTATTTCACGGCCCACGGCACTTACTACTCGGGACGAATTCTTCGTGGGCAGTGAAACGAAGATCTTGATAGCTCGCGCTCAGGATGAGGCATATAGAAAGTCACCACCCTCTCTCGCGTGCAACGAGATCCACGATCCAGACACGACCACGAGCCCATCTTTCTCTCTCTTTCTCTCTCTTTCTCACTCTCTAAAAGCGCAGGTGAACACTTGTCGAAGGAGAGCTCATTTTTTGACGATACGAGACAGGACTGCTTGATGGAATTTATGAGAAGCAGCGCTTTGGCTTGCGTAACTCTCTCGCGCGCTGTCTGCCACAGGGAGGGTGATATAACGTAATTAGAAAGTATAGATTTTGACGCTTCCGCGTGGTCGATATCGTACTTATTTTTATTTATTTTATTCACGACGTGTTACAATTTTGATGTAATAGACTCTCCACGAGATTTCAATTTTAGTTTACGATTGGCTGTCGAATAGCTGCTGATACCCATTAGTTGCTTTCTTCAATCAGATCTGCAGTGGAATTTTTTCTAGACAAGTCATCCCATCGGCGCGTGATAAATTTATAATTCGCACGCAGCGTTCATTGTGTATTTACGCTGCTAATTGTGATCGCAAGACATTTTGATACAATGATTAGAATTTATGGATATTGCACTTTAATTGATGATACGGTATAATATGTCATATCGCAATTGGCTGGCGACTTTGTTTATCAAGCGGTTTGCTCAGAACACCGTGCAATTACGTCATTTGCCGCGTTATAACGTTATCATAGTTAGAAACGTATTATATCGAATTAAAAATTAAATTAAAATGTGTCATCGGGATGGAAATAATACCATACCGCGCAGACCCGATTAAAGCTCCTTGAAGAAAAGAACATTCATTGCAATTGCTAAAAAAAAAATTATCACGAGTCGCTCGATAGACAGCGCACAGTTCCCGCGTGGTTCGGTCGAGCGTATCGCATTGCTTCCGAGAGGAAAAGCTGCGAGTAGGAGGCATCGGCAAAAAAGCAGAAGTAGACTTGCGTACGAACAGGACCCCACGCGGTCCGTGACTTTTCAACCCGCTTCCGCGTTGCGTTCGCTGTCTCTACGCATCCTTACGGCTACATGTCGCGTCCCGTCGTGCGCCAAACAAACGTGCAATTGCCAGGTGTGAAATGGCTGCGGCTTGCCTCATTTTTTTGCTTTTCTTCTTCGATTTCTGCATTTAATACGGTCGATCGCGATTCTACTTTTTCCTTCTGCGGGTGATATCGCCCGCGCAAAAACCTCGTTCACGCTTGTCCGTTTCATCGGAAGAGAATTTTATAACGCGCGCGCGCGTTTACAGCTCTGTCGAGGAAAAGAAAAGTTCGGAGTGTAATTCGTGGCTTTTATTTTCCGCAACTCGTAAAAGCAACGCCTTTGTTCTGTATACCCTCCCGGCAAAATCATACCTTATAATTTTTTCGTTTTCTGTTTTTTCCATATCTCGATATTATATGCGTGGCTGTCCGTCTGTTTTACGCGTCGATTGTTTTTTCAACCGAAGAGAACGAGCTTTCTAACAAGTTATATTGCGTAATGTCAACTTATGCGGCGTATGTGTCTGCGCTTGTGCAACTGAAAAACCAGCTTCTCGATTTTCGCCAATCGTCTTTTTAGCTTCGATCAATATTTGCACTTTTAACGCCACGATCCGCGAGTATTTTATTAAAATCATATTTTTCTGTTCCACGTTTGCACAGCGCTGAGCAACTGATCTTTTGCAAGAGTTATACTTTCACGTATGTAAATACAAGGTAAACAAGTGAAGCTTTGAGCCTGAGCATGCCGTTTGTTAACAGAAAACGTAGAAAGAGTTCGACTCGAGTAGGAAGATTATAAGACATTTCGTTCTTCGTTGAGTCCAGCGTCGGTCAAAGAGTCCAGATTTTTCCACGGAAAAGAGTCGGCCTAGCAATAGTTTCCAAAGTTATATCAGCGACTCCGGGGCGTTTAGCACGAATGGCGAAGCTTAACGGTGATCCTCGGCGCGCCGTAAGCGACTTCCATGCCTCGCTCGAGAACGGTATATATTATTCAGTGCCTAGCGGCGTGCCCCTCTTTCCTCGCGGACGCCGCGTGGGCGCGCACGCGCGCGCGCTCTCGCTGCTCTTCCTAATCTTCTGCGTACGAGCCGTGTCCGTGCGTGGCCGGACGACGAAGCGAACATAACTTATTGGGGGCGCGTATCGCGTTGCTCGCACGAGCGAGACGTCCATCGCCGTCCACGTGAATCCATTTTGCAGCCCGTCTTATTTATTTGCCGCTCGAGCATTTAGCTACCAGTTGTACGCGGCTTTTATTTATTTGCCGGGAAAGTATATCGCAGCTGCCGCTTGCTCCTAATTTGGTTTGTTGCCTCATGCACGCGCGCCAAGTCCGTTTCCCGGACCATTTTGTATTTTGTAGAAGATTTAATGCGCATTTTGGTGAAAACTAATATGCATATATATGTGTATATTCGAATGCGCATGGTTTTCTAAAGCTGTCATATACAACAACCACATTATTTGATTTTCCAAGGAGATTTCTATCAGTGCGTCTTTCTTCTTTAGAAAATACGTCAAAGCGTGACAAACTTTCATAACGTGTCCGTGCAAAAATAACCGCTTAAACACTCGTCTTCGCTTCACTGTTGCAGCATTTTTTTTACAACGTCGCTGACCTATTTTCATGCATATTCCATTTGAAACCGTAACTCATTTTTTGCGTTCAAAGGCTAATAAGTACTCTCATAATTATGAATTTACGATTAGACTGACGTAAAAGGTTTTTCAAGTAGAACGCATTTGTCAAGCCGGTCATCGAATAGAATTCTCGTCGCAACTTGTCGTTATTTGTGCCAACTTCATTATTTTCGCAGTAAAAACCAACGACACGTGAACTTAAAACGATGACATTGGAAAGTAACATTATGATTGTTTATCTGTAGTCTTTCACATGGATTTGCTAATTAAAAATTGTCCGTATAGCATTCAACATGCAAATACCAAGTAATAG